GGTGTGTGCCCCACACTCTCCCCTAGATACGCCATGTTGCGTCAACATTCAAAAAGAATGTAAATTGGTTCACATAAATGTTTCTTTTTGAATAAGCATAGCTAATAAATTTTGCAATATTTTCTAATAATGATATGTTGTCAATTTTAATTAAAGATAAAATTTTTCCACACATTATGTTTTCAGTGTCAAATAGTTCTTATTTGCCCATATATGGTTATGATATACCGTCATGCCCAAATATAGATGAATATTTATAGTGTGGACTGACCTTTGTACCCCTCCTTTCTGATTAGACATTTCCCATGATGAAAAATGTTTGTGTTTCCCTGTCTTAAACCAATTCCTGGCTTACACTTTATTGCTTACTTATCATCTTTAATTATCAAATTTATTTGGTTATAAACCATATTTAAATTATTATAGAAATAACACAGCATGTTTTCTTAACTGATAAATTTCTGACACAGTTTTCTCCCTAGTGTAATAACTATTTGATTTTTTGCTTAAATTTTCCATGTAGACTGTGTTACGAGCCGACCCACACATTGGCCTTTTGCATCGTGGGACAGAGAAGCTGATGGAATACAAGACGTACCTGCAGGCCTTACCTTACTTTGATAGGTTGGACTATGTCTCCATGATGTGTAACGAACAGTGCTACTCACTCGCCATTGAAAATCTCCTAAACATCCAGGTTCCCGAAAGAGCCAAATGGATCCGCGGTAAATAAGGATAAACTAAAATAAATAGTTTTATTTTATTGGGATTGAATTGTGATATAATGATATGGTGAACTTTTGAATGTGCATATTGTTGGGACCTTTATGTGACCAAAAATTACTGAATTCCACAATAATATGAGTTTTAGCATTTGTAAGCTCTATCCGGACTACAAAAAAACTGTTGTATGCCCATATATAATCATTATGTACCAATTCCAATTCTAAAATGTATAATAAGTGGAACACTGTCGTCCATTAAGATGATTTCGTGATCTTGATGTTTTTCTTGATGCAGTCTATTTTTCACTTTTGTCTTATATTTATATGCGTTTGTATTGGTTTAACTGTTGTTCTTTTGTATGGACATGAAATTCCGAAATAAAAGATGAATGAATGAATGAAATGATGTTGTGCCATCGTGACCATATTAAGGCATGTCACATGTTTTTTGTCATAAGTTATGATAATTATTATTATTATTTATGTAGTTTTGTTTGGGGAGTTGACTAGATTAGCAAATCATATGATGGCAGTAACAACACATGCTCTTGATGTTGGTGCTATGACCCCGTTCTTCTGGATGTTTGAGGAAAGAGAAAAGGTAAAAAGAAAAGTCGCTACTACACTTACCTAGTATCTAGTTTGTATCTTGTATGGAGGTTATGTATTCACCACCATTTGTTGTTGCTGGATGATGCAAAAACTAATGAATGGATCATTATAAATTTTAGAGTAGCATTACATATTGGTCCAAGGAAGAGGTAATTAAATTTTGAAGTGAAAGAGTAAAAAATAAGGCAACAATAATAATGCAGTGTGGAGGAGGTATGCACTCAATCGAGTGCCCACATTAGTTACGTAAGTTTAATATACACTGTAGTATTATTTTAGAGATTTATGGCATTTCCATCTTGTTCATTCATATTCTTTTTTTTCAACTTGCAGCTTTTTGAATTCTCTGAACGAGTGTCCGGTGCACGTATGCATGCAGCCTACGTACGACCTGGAGGAGTACAACAAGTAAGGAATCGTTAATGATATGCAGGAGCTTATGTGTGTAGATTAATCTCTGAAAAGTTATTTGTAATGCCTTCCACTGACTGTGTGTGTAAAAAAATTTAAAAACTATGAACATTTGAACAATACATACATATATTAGATATTGTATTTGTATCCCACTTTTACTTATATATTAGGGCCAATGTATGATATAGATTTTGTTTTCCTTCAGGATCTTCCCATTGGCCTGATGGATGACATATACGATTTCCTTTCAAAGTTTTCTGATCGAATTGATGAAATGGAAGAGGTGAGCTTTTCATACCTTAAAATTGAGAAGGATAATAATAGCAGAGCCGAAAAACTTGCTCTTGCTGGAAACCTCTGGACCCTAGCATACTGCCGTGGAGGGTCTCAGCAGACAACTGTGCTGTCCCGACATCTCATAGGGAGGTTTCGCATGCGACGCATACAGTAGTGTGACTTATACGTCCATCATTTGTGACATCATAAGCCGGTTGCTATCCGCTAACCGTGTGGTCGAACACGCATATCTCGCTCACTACACTTAAAAATGCGTAGGAAAATTTTGGATTTCTAGTACGATCTTTGTTTTTTTTCACATTTTACGTTTTAAGTTAAAAAATAAATGTTCTTGTCACTTTTGAAAACAGCAAGTTAGGATAGGATGCGTATCATTTTGGGGTTTAAAAAAAAATCAGTGCTTGGTGGTGTCTGGGTTTTCCTGTAGGCCTAGCCTATTACTAGTAGGTCTAGCTAGGCCTAGCTTATATAGTAGCCAGGCATTTTTGGGTCACAAAATAACCAACTCTTCTGGGCAACAAGGTAAGGAGTATTATTTGGCTACCACTTCCAATTTCCGAAACCTTACTTACCAAAACTTTAGGCCATGCCAAAGAAGCATGATGGGAAAAGAAAACGGAATAGCCTAGGCCCTAGTCTAGACCTAAGGCCCAACGCTTAAATGTTGCTGTCATTGCTAAAAGCACAGCATGGCTACAAACTATTACGGATAGATAAATTTGTGTTAGTACACATTTGCTCACGTGCGAAACCTCTACTGATTCACAATTGCATGCTTGTTTACTTGCATTTATTTATTCATATTTTATTTTTATTTATTTTATGTAATTTTCTTTCCCTTTTGACCGTGACACATATCAGTATTGTACAAACACATTGTGCGAGTATACTCAACCGAGGAGGAAGATGATTGCTCAGTTGCTATAGTATGCGAATGGTAATCCGAAGTTATTGGATAAAATCTTGAGGGGGCATACATTTTTTTTTTTTAGTCTCATCTGTGACTAATGAGATTAAATATTCCAGTGTTATAAGACTACAAAATTATTCTATTTGGAATATTTGATTGCTATGATATTCCGTGCCTTACTACTGTTCCCATCAAACATAAATTATACGAAGTGTGTGCAAACTGTTTTTTTTATTTTTTTATGGTAGATGCTAACTTTTAATAGAATCTGGAAAGATAGGCTGATTGGCATTGGAGTTGTGACTGCAGAAGAGGCTCTCAACTATGGCTTCAGGTAAAAAATTTATCCTCATCTACATGAAATGAAGCGCTCAGAGAGTGGCGTGGCCTGTAGTCTTGTTAGGGGTGGGCTGTAGACAAACTTAGAAATCATGTTAATGAATAATCGTATAAAACATATAGATTCTGTTGTCCAAAACATTTCAAATATCAGAATATGAACTTCAAAATCCGAGAAAAAACAGTATTATAAAGACTCTTATTTTAAAATTTTTTAGTGGTGTCATGTTGCGGGGCTCTGGTATCAAATGGGATTTGCGCAAGACACAGCCCTATGATGCATATGACCAGGTGGAATTTGATGTACCTATTGGTACCAACGGAGACAGTTATGACAGGTAGGGAGATTGGTAGGTTAAGGATAAAAGGAAGAAGGCTAGGCATAACAGATTAGTTACACTAAGAGGAATGAAAATGTACAAGTACAGTGGGGACTTTACCAGAAAATTGGCTAAACATCATTGTAAGTTTGGTTAAACAATGTGATTATAGTAGTAATAATATAGAGATTTATACTACGCTTTTTGCCAAGGGGTACAAGAAGTTGGCGATGTTGATATTATTACCCCTCTTCATCGGGTCCATAACCAAACCAGTGCAAAGTGCAATCTCATCCTAGTCGTGCGTGCAATTAAATGCTAATACTTGCAATGCCACATCATCCTACCAGGTACTACCCATTTATAGAGGCAAACATAAGTAAGCTGCACCACATAATTTTACATAAATTGGAGGAAATACAGTACTGCAATTTTTTGGTATTTTTATTTCAAAGTGGTGCATATCACATAGTGACTTTTTTTTTTTCAATGTGCGTATAGATACTTGATTCGTGTGGAGGAGATGAGGCAAAGTCTTCGTATTTGCCTGCAGGCACTCAACAAGATGCCTGAGGGAGAGATTAAGGTAGATGATAACAAGGTATCACCACCAAAGAGAGCAGAGATGAAGGTTAGTATTGATAAATATGGCAAAACACCAATAATCATTCTAATAATAATAAACAATATATTCTGGGATGATTGATATAAATTCAAAAATGAAAAAATAATGATTTCCATTGTGATCATGATCAGGATTATAATGGCAATATAGATGGTGAAGATGATTTCCATGGTCATCTAGATAAGATATAGATGGTGTCGATGATAATACAGGTTATAGCTGACGGTGAAACTATAATGATTTTGATAGTAGTGAGAGTAAGTAAATGATGCCAAAAACAAAATTACGTATAATAGTAAAAATGATGTGATCGGGAGACCGACGCTCGTCGCATTGCTTTTGTCCTTGGGCAAGACACTTTACTTATGTTTGCCTCTCTTCACCAAGAAGTAATGGCGGGGGGGGGGGGTCAAGCTGTTAACCTGCTCATTGGTGACCCTGCTTCGACTGTTCCAGTCAATTAATAACAGCAACTTGATTATTCGCTACATCATATTCAAAAAAGAAAAAAAATGATGTGAAGTTTATTTTATAAATGATTATTTTGTTAATATAAATATATTAATTTCATTTTTGTTTTACAATAGGAGTCTATGGAAGCCCTCATCCACCATTTCAAATTGTACACAGAAGGTTACCAAGTCCCCCCAGGGGCAACATACACTGCAATAGAAGCTCCCAAGGTAAACAATCCATGATAGCTACTTCAACACACAGCAAGTACAAATTACCACAAATTACATTCTGTCTATGATTAGCATTAGAGCAATACAGGGTCTTTGCAAAGCATAATATCAAAAAAATAGTTAATTGGTCTTTTCTATGATGCCTGTCTTTTTTTCTCTTTTCTTAGTGATGCCTCACCATGCTCCTTTAACTTGGCTAGAACTTGCCTTAGCTGCAGTGGCATGTGTAGGGGTGCAGGCCCTAAAAAAAAGCATGCATCCCTGGTTCTTCTTCCCCCCCCCCCCCCTTCCAATTGAAAATGTTTGAAGCACAAAAATTACCTATCACCTTATTTTGTAAGCTAGTGTTCCCCTAACTTAATTATTGAGCCCCCATATCAGCCTCTTCATTTAAAGCTTCTTATAATGATTCCTTAAATAAAAATGGTTAAGTAAAAATTATGACTACATTTTACAGGGTGAATTTGGAGTTTATCTGGTGTCTGATGGCTCCAGTAGGCCATACCGTTGCAAGATCAAGGCTCCTGGATTTGCTCATTTAGCCGCATTACACAAGATGTCAAAGGGCCACATGCTGGCTGATGTAGTCGCAATCATTGGTAAGTTTCTGTGACAAAGACGAAGCGTCCACTTGATCAAATCATAAAACTTTTTGAATGTTGACTTAACTTTTGAGCCCATAGCTAAATGGCGTGGTCTGTGAAAAGTTCAGCAATGCGGTGGTACCAGATTATGCACAAACAATTTTAACAAAGTTGTGCTGTTTGCATCATACTGTCCGGAAAAAAAACCAGCATGGTTATCTTTTTTTGGATGGAGAATATTACATAGCTTTAGCATCTGTGGGAAGGCTAAAGTATATACAGTAATAAAAAACAAACGTTTTGTCCCCATAGGTACACAAGATATTGTATTTGGAGAAGTGGATCGATAAAACAACACAAAGAAAGAGATTTTGAGATTTTGAAATTATAAATGATGGAAGCAGGCAACGTTGCATGTTATTTAAAATGTTGGAAATATAATCTGAAAAGGAACAAGACCGACTGTAATCAGCATTGAGATACCATTTACCGTGAACTAATCTAGGTCTACCTGTTGTGTGAATGATTTGCATTTACTGAGTGTAGAAAGATTCAGAAAAACAAAATTTGTGTTGTAATGAAGACTAGAGACATTGTTTCCTATGTACATACCGCATCAGATTGCAGATTTAAATAAATATCTTCTGAATATATAGTTGTTTTTGTTTGTACATAAATATTTTTTGCCAGAATTCAACTACTCTATACTGTCAAGAAAAATACCTCAAAAATATAAATTAATTGCTCGTTTAAAAGATGCTGGTAACTTGTAGCCTCGTGGAAAGTTAATCACTTACTGAATATGCATATTTGGCAATTCATTATTTTTAAATGTATTTCAGGCATGTTAGACATGAAATAAATATATATGATCATTCACAATTTAACAGTTTTACATTCTACCCAATAAGTAATATCCAAATTTTTCAGATGTCAATTTATAAAATGTGATAGCTAGTATAACTAAAACAACTCACTTGAAGTGCAGTAGATGCCCAGATCAGGAAACCAATAGTAGATCAACGACTTTGAAAGCTTGTTGGTTGGGTATGGCTGCCATTTTGGAAACTAAAGTAAATTATTCCACATCCAACTGCAATACCCATGTCATTCACTGACGGAACACAAGGCTCAGGGAGTATTATAGCACACCTAAATATATCACTGTCATTTGATTGGTGGATTTTGTATCGTGTAACATTGGTTACCCCCCATTTTGTCATAATGGAAATTAGTTCCACGGTGTATTATCTTTCCACCCTTTCTTTTTTCATTGCACGGTGCCTAGGATAAGATATGGAGATCAACCAAATACAATCCTTTTATTTGGTTAGAGACTGGACTGTTTTATTTAGAAAAAAAAGGGTAGATATATTTCATAAAACATTGAATGACTAAAATCTCCATTCAGAGAAAAAGTAGATTTTTCTCATAAAATATTAAATGACAATTCAGTCCCTTCCAGATCAACCACTTAGTGGCAACAGCAACATGTTGATGAGGCCAAGTTTGTATGTTATTACTTCCATTTTGTTTACCAAAATTTTTTTTATACATAATGTATCATAATTCTTCTATTAGTTTGTGTTTAGTTGCTGGCTGCCTTAATTTCTTGAGGTTGTCTTTTACTTTGTTCTTCAATCCCTCCTGCTTTTCCTCTTCACTCTGTATATCACCTGTAATTAAAACATAGTATGCTGACATAAATATGTATCAAAACAGGATGTGTATAAACATGAAAACCAATAAAACAATACCATAAATGCTCGAATAAAGCGCTGCAACGCTTTTAACATTTTTGGAGGCTTCAAAGCGGCGCTTATAAAATATTGGCATGGCGCTTTCCATGCCTGTTTCCATGTTACCTATCTCACATATTCCCGTAGTTTATTAGGCCTATCATAGGTCCTACATCATCGTAAATAAAAGTTAATAAAGAAATGATTGTCTCTTCATTGTGTTATTGATGTATTTTAACGCTGAAAATTTCATACACCAGGGTAATATATACTCTCGATTAAACGCCACAGCCGTGCAGCGCTTATTCAAGCATTTACAGTATACATTAAAAAACTCTGCAAATACCTAAACAGTAAAATATTTTAAATTGTGCAAAATATATACTTACAATGCTCTACATGGACTAGACTCCTCACTCCAGACAACTTGTCTCCATACTGCATTAACCAAGACAAATAAAATTCAAGTTTTTTCTGACATTGAAAATACATTTTCACATATCCCTGAATTTTTTGAGACGATTTATTAGATGATTTCATGGCTGAAAAGATATTAAAATAAAACTATTATTTAATAATTTCAAAAGAAATGAACCTGAGTATGGTCCAAAATCACTGTATCGCTAACCACTCCAGCATTATATAAATTAATAGGAAATACAGTAGACACCCCCATTAAGAAGACACTTTTTTGGCCACAAAATTTTTTGGCCACAAAACGAGGAAAAGTATATCTTTTAACACTACAGCCAACTCCTATTCAGGGCACACCCATATTAAAGGAACTCTTTTTTTGGTCCCAAAGTATACCTATGTGTTAATGTAAATCAAATTAACATGAAATGAAAATAATAATTCACAACTTATTCATTCCCTTTAGGTTCAATATCAATTCAAGCTCTTCAGAAAAAAGATATTATAAATAATGATCCCTGACCTTTCTTGGAGCATTTTCTTGCTTGGTAGAATAGTGTGTGTAGATCTGAGAAGGCAGCCTGAATGTAGGTTGTATCATGGGGTTTGGCTGGCCCAGTCAACAGATGAAGAACATCCTCTACTATGCTTGATGGAGGCATGTTGCTGCTCAGCTCAGCTGGGGCCTGGTAAAAATGTATAATATATTACATGGATGTACTGAAGTTGCAAAGCTTTCTATTCTTAGGGAGTAATTCCGAGTCAGTCAGTAATAAACATTTCTTTTAAAATCATGGGTACCAGGTACCCATTTATACTCCTGGGTGAAGAGAGGCAACAATAGACAAAGAATGTTGCCCAAGAACCAGAAGCACATAGAGGCATTGTTGGTATGATGCACTATATGAGTCTAACATATAATTATCATCATCATTATTAATACATGGGCCTAAACTTGCAGCGTTACTGCTGTGGCACATGGCTTCCACATAACGGAAATCAAGAAAATAATATGGTGAAAAGTAATACTGTAGTATGCTGCAGTAATTGGTGTCTATACAAATCCTTATTCCTTACTGAAGCCTAGAATAAATTCTCAATTACAGATTCACCTTGGTGACTGTTGCCATGGCACTATGTATAGCATCGCTGACTGTGTCGTAAGATCTGTTTTCACTGAAAACACCGCACATTTGAAGAAAACTCTGAAATTCAAGATAAATATGAGTTTCATATTTGTGAGTTATAGCAACTGGAAAAAACATAAATGTTAGGCTAGTTGGTGCCCAATTCCGCCAGAATTATAAATAACAAAAATTTACTCTACACAGAGAAAGAGAGACTTGTACACTACTAGCACATACATACTATTACTGAATAATTTGTCAATCATTTTTACTAATACAGTATTAAAAATTCAATGGAACTACCTAGTAAAAATGTAATACTATACCTGGGCAGACTGTAGTGGAAGGTCATGGTGTTGTCCATTGTAGAATCTGACTGTATAAACATAACAATAACTGGTAACATTTGTTAGATAAGGAAGATATCAATATCCCACACAAAATATTTCAGTCTAAAAGTAATCTTCAAGAATATTGTAACAGTTCCAAATTTTTCCCATCTCTCTATCCCATTTCACCCACGCCATTTCGCCTTGGTCCAGTGGTGTAACGATGAGGCCGGGGGCCCTGTGGCTTTCTGAGAGTGGGGGTCTTTTGGGTCATGGTCGCCAATTTCATTGTGGGATTTTAAATGTGCTCATTTTTTACTTACTGTATGTTTGTCTAAATGTTTTTAATGACAAATAAATGATATGAGTGGCAAATCCAGGAATATGTAATAGGGCCCAGGGAGAGACTTTAACTGATGAAGGGTTATCACAACTTCAGTCCTACCATGGTTGGGGCTGAGGTAAGAAAATTTATGATTATAGCACCCCTAAATGTCTGGAAATGGCACTCACAGACTTAAAATTAAAAAATTTAGGGGCCCTTAAATTCGTCACTGGATATAATATGATATATAGTCGATGTCAGAGACGCATTATGCTGTTATTTATCAACAAAGTCCTTTTGGGTCAGGGTGCTAGATCAAGGACCCTTTGGTTAGAGCCCCTCGGGGGACCCCTAAGGGTCGGGATCCCTGTGGACTGCCGCACGAGAGCGCATAGGTGTTAGGCCACTGCCTTGGTCCTGTTGATAACAGTTGCTCTGCCCTGCCTAATTGCCCCACTCTTAACTTAGCATATACATTACCCAAAACAGTTAATGCTTAAACCAATCAAAAACATGGAATTCAGGATTTTCACATTTCATCATGCAACAGGATGAATGGAATTTGAAATAGTAGGGACCCAGGGAGGAACTTCTATAAATTGGAAGTTCAAACCACATCAGCCCCACCATGGTTGAGGTACAAAATTTGATGGCTATGCCACCTCTAAATGGCCTGGAAATGCCTCTTTAATTTGAATGTAACTTAATTTTTCCCCATTTGTTTCTTACATTTTCAAAAATTCAAGGGGACCTTGGCAAACTGGGCTCCCCATTGTGTTTGCCCCTAAAAATTACCATCTTTTGAAATGTTACTATCGCAACTGATGTCCTAAAATATTAATAATGCAAATTTAATCAAGAAATGAAGTTTTGGAAAGCAAAAATGCCAAATAAACATAGTTACAAGAGGATACAGAATATGTACACAGTTGAAACAAATTACTGGAGATGGACTGCCGGTCTTCAGTAACTGATTAAAAGGTGCGATATTTGGCAAAATTTCTGGCATGTCAGTAGTCATGGTAACTTGATGACTTTTCTCTGACCTTTCACTGACCTCTTCTACAAGTGATTTGCTCTAGAAAAAAAAATTGTACAAATTTCTTATCAGGTTTTATATTGCTGGGGTAGATGCATGATTTGGTGGTAGGGAGTGCTTGAGAATGCACAGCAGCTCAGCTCCACACCATTGTAGGGCTGAGGTGAGAAACTTTTGAGAATACGGACCTCAAGGTGCCTCAAAACTGCACTCTCATACTTTTACTCTTACCTGTATTGGATTGGATTTATTCGGTGTAAACACCAAGGATAGCCCATGAAAGTCTAGAAGAAGACTTATTTCCAGTGGGGTCCTTCTGGTGGTGATTGGACAGTACACCGGGAGACAATGCCCTACTCTTTTTCGAAGAGTGTACTGTGTTCTTTAACGTGCACATGGGCCATAAATGCACACAGGACCAACGGCTTAAACGTCTCATCCGAAAGACGGTGCGCTATGTAACTTGTATTTCAGCCCTCTAGCTGAAACACAAGGAGAGGCACCAGATTAGCCGACTGAGCTAAGCTGCTCACTATATTTTAATGATAAAAAAAGTACATCAACAATACAATACATGTACAACATTTCTCAATACAAGTTAGGAGGTACGATCACAAAAATTAAAATAACTGAATTATAGTTTTGATATTATTTAAGTCTAAGAACTTACATGATGCACCCACCAAGGTACCCACATTTCCATGATACCCCCAAGTTTGTCATTTTTCAATAACCTTTCAAATCCTTCTTTTTCTTCTTGTGTCAGTTGTTCCCAAACACGATCAGAATCTTTCTCTGTAAAATTTTGAAAAAATAATGCTAATTTGTGCTCACTATAATTAAATTATTATTTATTTATTATTAAAGTTTATTATTGATTTGCAGAGTAACCCATTTCAAAATAATAAAAAATATTTGTTTAGACCTATATATCTGTCTCTTATACACATCTAGATGTGTATAAGAGACAGGCGCATAGGTGTATAAGAGACAGACTGTCTTCATTGCTATCTAGTTGATATTGTTGGTCTTCTTCCTCTAAACGCCTCAGCATATCCATCACTTGCTGTCTCTCTTCAGGGCTGCAAACAATAAGGAATATATCACCAATGGCGGCAACAGAGACTCCGCGACAAGGGGTCCAAATTTTATGAGTCCGTACCCACCTCAGACCCACCATCAGCGGTGGATCCAGGAGTGTGGCAAAAGGGGCGCTCAAGATTAATAACCAAGTGTTAGATTAAAGAACCAAAGAGATTAAAATGGCTAACACTCCAAAGTTTCCAAGGGCCAGAGCCCCCTGCATCCCTACAATTGGCAAGCAAACACCTACAAAACTTTATTCTCTAGCCATACATACATTCTGTCCCATTCAGGCCATAGGTCCTTGACTGCCACTTTTGCCAACCTGACACAAAAAATCTGGATCCACCACTGACTATGGTTGCAAGCAAATTTTTTAAATAGGACCTCGAGGTCAGACAAAATTGGTACTCTCAAGACTGAAAAAATGCTTTTTTAAAGCAGTAAGTGGTTCCTAACAAAATGCTTTGTGTCTCTTATGACAGATCCGGTCGATTTTATACCTTTTCTTTGTTTTCTTCATCTCATCCATCACACTTTCCTTGTAAAAAGATTCTGAGCAATCAGCATGCAACTGAAAAAAAAGAAAAATAATGGCATAAACTTAATTAGGTATACAGTAATGAGCTTAAGAAAGGGTAAAGTGGATATTATTGTTAATATTATTATATATTGCAATGGTCATACCATACCTGCCAACATTTAAAAGAAGAAAAGAGGTAGGAAGTTATTGAGAAAATGGCGCATAGCGCCATCCGAGTGCGAAGCCCGAGGCGGGGGGGGGGTTTTGGAGGGGGTGTCCCCCTCCCAACAATGGGGGTTCCAGGGGGCGCAGCTATAACAGTTCAGTAAATTTAAGGGTTTAGATAATCGATTTTAGAGTTACAAAAAATGGAAAGATGGAAATGTTCAGTTGGTCAAACTCATACATTAAAAAAAGTCAACACACTAAGTTTTAAAGTCTGTCCTGCAACTCACACACAAAGCATGCCATGAAACTGATCTTTCCTCGATTACTTAATACAACTGTGGTCTGCAGTCCTGGTAGTGCTGTTTGTTTACCATTCTGACGGCGAACGAGATTATTTTGATTGAGAACTTAGCATAAAATAATGTTGATTTTCAATTTTTAAAAATCGGTAGGAACAGCCTCGTAATTCGGTAGGCGGTAGAAAAGTGAGAAAATCGGTAGCCTACCGCCTAAATCGGTAGGGTTGGCAGGTATGTCATACAGTTAACTGGCTGATCCAGAGATGTCCGAAAAAAGGGGGGGGGGTTAAAACTATTAAACTAGTTCAAACTATACAGAAGCTCAACTGTTCTAAGCTGTACATTTGTGGTAAAGTGGATTGTCCTGCATTCCCTGGTACAGACGTACTACTGTACTAGGCTCAATTTCTGTAAGACAAAAGTAAATAGAAGATGCAATCCCTAAGCCCCATATGAGCAGACTTTCTGAGTTGAGCTGGAAAGACTACAATTTTATAAATATGGTTCAAATATCAAAAATAATAAAAACAAAAATATTTCCTAATAGTAATGCTTTGTTTATTCCTTTCTTCTTACCGAACTTTTGTAACAATCCAAAGAACAGTATCTCACATTGCATCGGGGGCAGACATATTTTGCTGTTTCTTTTAAGCATCTGTAATATACAAAGTTAAATATCATACACAATTGTAATTATGGCAATCGCTTGTCACCAATCTTAAACAAATTCCTAATTCTGATTGCATGTTATTGTTGAGGCTAGGCTAGTAAGTATAGGCCTAATAAAATAATATCAATAATACTGGATTATCTTAATTTAGTATTTAGTATTAATCCAATCCATATGTATACAATAACATCCAATCACACTTTAATAAGAAATTCGCTTCAAATTACAAGCCAATCATCCAGACAGCCTCTAAACCCTAGGCTAAGACTAGGTCTAGGGTAGGTTTAATACTCGAGTCAGGTGTGGGCCTAGGCCTAGTCTGGACTGTGGTGTGTGCTCTCTCTCTCTCTCTGGTCTGCTGCCGACCTAACAAATTCGTTTGATGTTGAAGGCAAGTAAATAACTACAAACAAGCAAATATGAACACATCTTTAAAAAAAATTTTATATTTTAAAATAATATAGAAAACATACAACTTGCAGAGCTGATTAAATTTATCTTTAAATGCAGGGGTTTCTTCTGTACATAATTTCACATTTGACGTTAAGGAGGCCGCCATTTTGGATAATCCGCGTTGCCAGGTGGTTTATTTATAATTGAATCCAATTAATAAACTTTTCTGCCCATTGCTCTTGCCCAGTTTGAATTTTATTTGTTGTTCCCATGGTGTCATCTCTCCGATTTTTTGTTGGTTTTTTTTTTTTTGTCTTCCTTTCCTTATTTTCCAAGTGGACAGAAAAAGATGGACAATGCTGGATTGAGGCCTGATGATTTATTTATTGAATCTCTGACGCCGAGGTACCTGCGTGTACACGTAGTGATGGCGACGATGTCAAAATCGGGGGTACACATTTCCCCCACCTTCGCGTTCTTTTGTCTTTGTTTCATGTGGCTTCAAAAGTGCCTTGAGACGGTTTTCTGTGGAAAGGCGCTATATAAATATATACGACCATCGACCATAGAAAACACTTTTTTGCGCTAGGGTAGCACCAGGATTTGGTCTACGGGGGAGGGGGAGTATGTCTCCCGACGAGAGGGTAGATGTCTCCGAAGAGAGAAAAGTGGGCGTGGTCGGGCGTCGATCAAAATAGGTCGTACTTCATCAACTGCTTCCAGGGGCGGATCCAAAGGTGTCTGAAATGGAGAGGTGGCATTTGATCGAGAGACAATAATACCATATAGGGGTCTAGTCTCCAGGGACTTTTGTTCTAGGCGTCCGAAAATAACTTCTGAGGCGTTTTGAGCGATTAATAATTTCTTTTTGTTTTTCATTCCCGGGGGGGGGGGGGTAAATCTAGGGCTTCATCAATTAAATATCTTCTTGTATCCTCACATCCTCTCATTCTCCAACCCCTCCCAGACTCTGTCCTTTTCTGAGTCAGGTCAGTAATATACTTGCTGTGTAGAAAACAGGACTGATAATAATAATTCTGATACTTCTACTTATCTGTTAATCAACCGAATTTTAATATCATTCAATGAGGTACAACGATGTGAAGCGCTTAGAGGCACTGCTGGCATTAAGCGCTATACAAATGGAGCAATAAATGCAGCATTTTTATAGCGCTTTATCCCAAAAAGCACACACATTATATAAATTAAGTATTATTATAGTTGATTAATATCAAGAGCTTATTATGCAGACACAAATTTCATTTTAAAATTACCATGCTATCAATAGGCTATGTTAATATATAATGTGCATTTCACATTTATATTCAAATAACCAACACTTTTAGACCAACTTTCACAGATGTACAATAATATTACCGGTCGTTTTGGTAGGTCTAAATGAGGGTGTCTCTCTACAGGCTGAAATTTCAATCACAGGATAGAGGGCGCTCAACTTGAATAAAAGGGTAGAATATTATAGAGTGCTGTCCTCCATCTACCTTCAAACATTGTTAAAAAATACTGGTTAAACCTATACAACATTCGCTTTTATTCTACCACAACAACGGCAATTGAATATCCAGAAATACAGTCTGCATGCAATAATATTAATATATTTTATGAACATAGTTACTGACTAAGTGTTGTCATTAATTTTATTTGATCAAGCAAACAAATTATATTTTTTTTCATTCTCATTCATCCAAAAAACAAGCAACTTATTGGACTCAACTTTAATATATGTGATATTCTAGAAACATATAAATGTAGTGGTTTTAAGTCCGGTTTTCCACTAGATGAATTTATTAGCGCAAAACGAAAGCGTCATTCATGCGTATGCGCATTCACATTTCTATTAGATTTTTAGTTTGAACTGTTTCTACTTTGTGCGTAACCAATCAGAGCTCAGGAACCGAACCGACGCATTTGATTCGCGTGAATAATTTTGCCTAGTGGAAACAGGCTTTAGTGGTTATGATGCTTGCCTTCAAACCCCATGGTCATGGAGGGGCCAGCGGTGGCTTTAGAAATTTGGCGACAAGGGGCCTGACATGTCCGACGAGGTCCAAACCAAGGGACCGACTAGAACCTCGGTCCGAGTCCAAGAATAACATTTTTTTTTAATTTCTAAAAACCTAAGCTTCACTATAACGTAAAGTGCGGTACATTATGATCGTATAAGTAGCTCCTCTCGCACTCACAACACCGAATGTCTTCTTTTTTTCCCCTAAAAACCGTCACTCTTAAATAAGTTGTGGTATTAGAGATAGCCCCCTACATGACATTCTATTTTGAATAAACAATGTGAGAGTACATATAGTACCATACTATGATGTTTTGTATGATGGAAATGGTTTTAAATAATTGATGTATCAGTACTAATAATTAAGTAAATACATGGTAAATAGCTTGCACAGAATCGTGCAGAATGGAGAGCTGCTATTACAAGTACAGTCCAGGGAGATGTAAAAATAAAAAAAATAAATAAATAAATAAAAATAAAAAAATTAAAAAAAATATTAAAAATAAATATTTTACACTTCCCTGTACAGTGTAACCCATGCTTGCATGGAATAATAATAGACTCTATATTGATGATGCTCATGATGGTACTATTTTAGCAAATAATAATTTGTAACAAGCGCCACTCTAAGTTTTCTGCTGAAATGGATAATGTAGAAGGCATTAGAGAAGTGAACTAGAAGAAGTAGCTATCTTTGAATTTCCATGACTTGAACCCCAAATTCTGGTACTGAAGGTCAAGCACCATAACCACCAGTATTGTGCATACATTAAATATACAGTATGGTACAAAAACTCTGTCTATTAATTTTTGTTTACTGTCGTATACAGTTGAGGTACTTCATATATTTATTTATAATGAGTACCAGGATGGCCCAATTCATGCTGTAAAAAAACCAGTCTCCTTGTGGGGTCCTCTGTGAACACATCTTGGCATTTAAAAATGTTTTATTTTAAAAATGTTAAAAAATAATTCGGGTGTGTATGTAAACTGTAACTATTAAAACGTTTTATTTTAAAAATGTTAAAAAATAATTCAGATGTGTTTGTAAGGTGTAACTATAGTTACATTTTTTTCAAAACATTAAATTCTGAGTTTATTTTACCTTAAATATCTTTACAATATTGCCTCTCCTCTGTATATCTTTAAACATGATTAAACATTTCTATAAGTATTTGATTTATAAAATTTTGCCACATGGGCAAAAGCTTACATATTATATAGCAAATACTATATTACTATTTTAATATAATATAGCAAATATTAGCTGAAATCTCTTTCACTATCACAAACATCACATACAAATATACATAGACATGGTAATTTTGTCAGCACACTTGGAGACAATCTGAAGTCTTTCCAAAAGAGTATTTTTTTCATGTACAGAGCTATTATATAAATAGAACCAACTGCTTACCATCCCATCTGAAGGACAAGGTAGTATTTAACTCAGGGCTGCATCCAGAATTGCCACTGGGGTGTGTGGGGATGTGCAAAGATGGACAAACTGGGGGTAGAGCTTGTTGGATTGTAGCTTAAACTTTTGTTTAATGTTTTACAGCAATTTCTATGCCCAAACACTGGCCTAATGATTTATTATTCCATTTTAATATCATTAATACAGAAAATAAACAATTTTGGATTGGGGTAGGGAAAGTAAATTGGATATGAACCCATCACACCCCCTGTCCCCCTTGGGATACAGGCCTGATCTTAACCAAGGACATAAGCGAAGGCAGGCGTAGGCAGGTTTCAAACCAGGCAACATACACTTTTAAACCAATGTTCTCACATGAATTTGAAAAGAAACAATTTCTACAATTCTACATTTATAGCACCTGCCCTATGGCTTGAATACATTTGGATTAGAGCAAATTGAGAGTTGAATTAGCTGCCTCTGAACAAACTTTGTTAAGGAATTTGTTATAAATATTATCGTAACAACAAATTAGCTGATATTTTAACTCATACCCACTTAAAAAGCATCTAAGTGGACTGCAACAAATAAATATTTTAAACATTCTTAAAAAAAAAAAATTAACTAAAATAAATATTCATTTGTTTTTTAACTTCACACAAAATATTAATTACGATGGATTTGTAATATCTTGTTCACAATCTTGTGCACCATCTTTTTCAGTGTCTTGCTCACCGTCCTGTTTACCATCTAGTTTTTGATCTACTGTTTCTTTAAGTCCAGTGTGTTTCATCAAATGTACTTTCAAACTGCTTTTAACGTTGAACTTCTGTCCGCAGTACTCGCACTGATATGGCGTCTCTCCCGTATGAATTCTCATATGAACTTTTAAATTACTATTAACATTGAATTTCTTTCCACAATGTTCACATTCGTACGGCGTCTCTCCAGTATGTATCCTTAAGTGTCTTCTCAGGTCGCTACTGTTATTAAATTCCTTTCCACAATATTCACATTGCAATTGTACCTTCTCTGCCTTGCCATAACGTTCATTTGGTTTTTCTCCCGTGTGGATCCTCAAATGTGTTTTTAAACCGCTGTTATGAATAAACTTCTTTCCGCAATGTTCACATTGAAAGGGTGTTTCTCCCGTGTGTATCCGCAAATGTGTTTTTAAGTGGCAGCTATGGTTGAATTTCTTTCCACAATCTTCGCATTCGAACGGTTTCTCACCTGTGTGTATCTTCATATGTGCTTTCAAACTACCACTTCGGTTAAATTTCTTCCCGCAATCTTCACATTCGTACGGTGTATCTCCCGTGTGAAGCCTCACGTGCGCTTCCAAACTGCCACTTTTATTAAACTTCTTTCCACAATATTCGCAACCATATGGCGTTTCTCCAGTGTGAGTTCTCAAATGCACCTTCAAATTGCTTTTTTGGTTAAACTTCTTTCCACAATGTTCACATTCGCACGATGTTTCTCCGGTATGTATACGCATGTGTACCTTTAAATTACTATTAACGTTGAATTTCTTTCCGCACAGTTTACATTCGTACGGTGTCTCGCCTGTGTGAATCCTCATATGCCTCTTTAAATCACTCCTTTGATTCAACACCTTTCCGCATTGTTCGCACTGAAATTGTACTTTTTCTATCTTCCCATAAGGTTGGCATTCAGGAGGAGGCGGCCCTTTTGGAAGAATCTTCCTATAGGTTTTTACATTACTACTTTGAATTAATCTATTTACATAAGGTTCACAATCAAATGGCGCATCTCCTGCATGAGTTCTCAAATGAGCTTCCAACTGAAATATGTCTTTGAATTTCCGTCCACAATCTTCGCATTCATAGCCCGCCTCTTGTTTATGTTTTGCCAAATGTGCTGTCAAATCATTTCTGTGATTGAATATCATTCCGCACTGTTCGCATTGAAATTGTTGGGCTTCTATATGTAATCCCATATGTTTTTTCAAAGCACTCAACTCGAACTTCACTCCACAGTGTTCGCATTTATATTTCATCTCTCCTTGATGTGGTACCATATTTTGCTCTGAATCTACACTCTCGTCATCACATTGATCTTTAGTCTGACTGCATTCATTCATATCGTCTGTTGGAATATTTCTCAAAGTCTCTTCGTCTTCTGTTTGTTGTTCAAAGCTGTCATAATCATCACACTCCCCTAAAAAATAATATAGAATATAAATAATTTTATTCAGTAAATTCACTGAATTGAACTGTAGATTGATTTTGAATTAAAAATGCACCAAATAGAAATGGTCTGATATAAAGTGAATAAAAAAATTCTCTGATATTTGTGAACTTATTATGTACAGTATATTAATTAATATACAGTAGTAATAAATTTTATGTTAATACAAATATTGAAAATATTTTAACAGGTACTGTAGGGGCGGATCCATGATTTGAAAGAGGGGGGTTCCAAAAAAAACCCTAAAAAAGAAAGGGGAATAATTTTGATTCCTAGATGACAGGAAATGAGCTTTCCCGACTTCTAAGGAGTCATTTAATGACCTTTAAGTTCTTCAAAACTCAAGGGTTTTCCCGCTCTTGAAAAATGTCAGGTAATTTTATCTCATTCTTTAGGCCCATACATAGAGAAAAAAAAAACAAAGACATAGGCAATATTATTATATTCCAACAATATTGAGTAGTTAGATATGTAGTCTTTCTTCCATGGATTGATGAACCGATAGGCTTCGTACATAAATTATTAAGACATCGAACCAAAAACAGTGTGTATAATTTATTTAATTGAAGACTAGTTGGGCTAGGCCTAGTTTGTCTGACCTGCCAAACTATGCCTAGGTTGGTTAGCATGCCTTTTGTAAGCCAGGACCCAGTAGTATTTTGTTATGTTTCTTCACAGAGGGGGTTCATCTGAACCCCTTAACCCCCTGGATCCGCCACTGGGTACTGTACATAACAGGCTTGATATATAGTTAATAATTTTTGTATTAACTTTTTTTTTTAACTAAGATTTTCTTAGTACTAGCTGTCACTGAATTTTCTCACATTAAAAATTTTTTAAAGCTAGTTTTCAAGACCGATGATTAATTTTAATACAACTTACGTATTTCAACTTTAACTTCAGAGTTCTCTTCCATATCCATTTTATTTCCATTATCATGCGGCATTTTATTTCCAATGGCATTGAATTCTTGATCCATGGATGTTAATATTGACAATGTGAGTCCTGGTGAAAACAAGCCATAAAGCTGGATAATCATACACATGAACAATCATAAATTGATTAGATATAATATATACTACTGTATTTAAATGAAGGTAGGCCTGGGCAGGCCTAATAATTTAATCACTGGATATTCTTCTGACCCAGGGCAGATTCCCCGGCCCCGCTTTTGGAAAGTAAAAGAAAATAAAAAAAGAAAGAAAAAATTGATCGCCCAAAAATATTAATATGTTAATTTATTTATTTAGAGTCAAGTCAAACTTTAAAAATATAGCCTAGGCCAAAATGAAAATCAAATTAAAGTAAAAGAGTACAGATAATGGTCCTAATGTATGTAAGAGGTCTCACCACTAAATGAGACACACTGTTGGTGAAATCATATTGAGATATTTGTAGAAGCAGTTTGGCGCAGCATGAAAGGTTTGGTTTCCCAACCTTGAGGTCGGGGTTTCAATCCCTTGCTGTGCATTTCGCTTGTGTCCTTGAGCAAGACACTTCATCTGCATTGCTTCTCTCCACCCAGGAGTATAAATGGGTACCTGGTGGGGTTGCTTGCTCCTGCGCTGAATACAGCAGCAACACTTAAGCTGGGAGATCTCCCGGACTTAAGCATGTGGATCCAATGACCAGGGACAGAAGCGCTTCGTATCTGCAAAGAAAGGCGCTATATAAATATATATGAATATATATATATATATACACAAAATAATGTACAGTAGGTTTAAGTGAAATTTTTACAAAATTTTGATTTTAATGTTTTTGTCTGCATTTTAAAGTTTTACTAATATTTAAATGTTTACTTTTACTGTATATTGTGCTCCCCAATCTTTTTATTATTGAATTTGTAGTGTTATATTGTTATTGCTATGACAATTTAGCCTCATATTTACCATATTTTATCGTGTATACTTTCATGTTTATAATTAATTGGTTGCCGTTTTGGTTTACTGCCATTTTGGTCTTGCTGTTCTGACTTATTGCTGTTTTTGGTGTATTGCCGTTCTGGTCAAAAAGTGTTGCCGTTTTGGTTTATTGCCAATTTGGTCATTGCCGTTTTTACTTAGGCCTAGGTAGGGGCCTAGGCCTATTTTGCCGCAAAAGTTTTGGTTTATTCAAATTGCCGTTTTGACCAGAAAGCAACCTAAAATCTAAATGGATCTCCGCCTAGCTCAGCTAGGCCTACCCATGGAGTTATGATTATTTTCTCAAAATAATAACTCCGTGGCCTAGTCCTAGCCTAGTACTATCCTAGTAATGGTAGTAGGTAGGCCTATAGGGGGGGGGGGGGCTAGGCTAGGCTCTAGTCTAGGCCTCCTCCTAGTTACAGTAAAGTAGCAGCCTAGCCTAGCCTAGCTTCTTACGCTGAGGCTAACACAGTTTCTGGCAAATAACATTCTTATTTCTATACATACCAAAAGCTACTAGTACTTGTCAAACGCATTTAAAAATAGACAATACACTTAAAATCAGTTTGAAAGTGTAATTTTTAAACGTTCTGGAAAAAAGTGAAAACACCCGATTTATTTTTAAAGTAGGACGCCACCACAGTTTATAAAAATGCCTTTGTTTTAAATGTTGGTTCCCGTCGGGTTTATAAATATGGTTGATCAAGATCAACCATAACTCATTAAAAAAAAATGCACAAAACAAGTTTGCAACAATTCTAGTTGAAAGGAATGATAAAACAATTTTTCAATACTCAGACGAATGCTTTCAATTCTTTCCATTTGCTGACATACATCTCCCACTCCAGGCCCGTAGCCAGGTTCAATGGGTTCTCTGGGCGGGGGTCCAGGAGATCGGCCCCGGTGGAAGTCAGCAAAACCCCTGAAGCCACAGAGAATTTTTGTGTTGTAAAATTTTCAGTTAGTTAATTGTGTTTCTGCATGCTATGATTTATGTTATATGAAATGCAAAAAAAAAAATGGCAACAATCAGTAAAGCAATATTGCTGAATGAGAATGAAATTGTTTTTTCTTCAAGTCTTCTGTCTGAATGATTTTCAAACATCATAGCATCATCATAAATTAGGGAAACTCATACATTGTTAAAAAAAAAAAAAAAAAAAAAAAACAAGATGTAGGCCTACTGTATTAATATCTTATGTTCATCTCCAGGAGGAGGCGATCGAGAGGCAACACTGAAATAGGGGATCCGGAGGCGTCCCGGAGAAATTGTTTTTTGCTACAGTGGCGGGTTTAAGCCCCCTCCCTTCCCCAACCGGCCGAGCTCGTCGTGCAGTCGGAAAAAAAAATAGGTCCACACCAATCCAAAACATGTCTTTCACAGTCGTAGAGTGCCATTTCCGGCCATCCAGTGTTCCCTATTTAAAAAAAATCTCATTCGCCCCCAACCCTCCCCTCCTCATGCATACAAGCTCAAGCCCCTCGGACAGCTTAGCCCACCCTCCCCCTCCCCACTCCCCCAGAAAATAAATCCTAGAGCCGCCACTGATTTCCTAGACGCCCGCGGAAATACTTTGAGGTTTTCCGGGCGCTCAATAACTTCTTTTTTCTTCTTGAAAGTGGAAAGGGGGTGGGGGGTGGTCAAAATCTTCCCCTGATTTTCTTAATATACGGTAAATATGCAGGTTGGTTTGAATGATTTGAGTGCCCTCTAAATTTGCAGCTTATGCTATAAGGTATAATTTTTTAATTAAGGGAGATGTAAGCTATCATTAAAAAAAACTGATGACTGTCAAGGTTATTTGCAAACAATTTATGATTGAACAGTTTATTAAATGATTTTACACCCAAGTAAATTTCATATGGTATAGTAGCAGATAAAGGTGTCAGCTACCATTTAAAAAAATCACTGATGTCTGTGCTGTCAAGGTTATTTGCAAACAATTATGATTGAACAGTTTATTAAATGATAGGATTTTACACCCAAGTAAATTTCATAATATAATTGATAATTATAATTTCTTCATATGAGATGGTAGCAAATAAAGGGGTCAGCTACAATTAAAAAAAATAACTGATGAGTGTCAAGGCTACAGTATTTGCAAACAATTATGATTGGACAGTTTGTTAATTTATAGGATATTTCATACTGAGGCAAATTACGCCAAGGAAAATTTGTGAGCGAGGAGAGAAGAAAGTGTACTATAACTGTACTATACAAATATAGTTAACATTCATTTTAGTAGATATATGAGAGCTACGTTTGGTCGCTTTGGAAGGATTTCACCTTTTTTTCATACGAACGCATTTTATAAAAACACCGTGGCTGAAATTGCAAAAAAATAAAAACAAAATAAGAACACATGAGACTGGGGTGAACTGTCAAATGAGGATTTTATTTCAAAAACTAACAAATCAAGCTAGTCATATATTATCAGTAAAACTATTATATATTATTATTTTAAATGTTACACAGTACAGATAGGGCCTACTGCTGTACAATAATGATTTTCTGTCTTTGAACAGTGTGTAAAATGAACAAATTATGAACAGGGCCCAATCTACCACTGAATAAAATATGATAGGCCTACATGTCCTACAGTTGTCAGAGACATTATACTGTTATGTATTAACAAAACCCTTTGGTTCAGGGTGCTAGATCAAAGGACCCTGGGTAGGGACCTTCGCAGGGGTCGGGACCCTGTGGATCGCTGCACGAGAGCGTATATGTGTTGCGCCACTGTTGACCCAATACGTCATTATAAACGTTTAAGTTCTGCTATCTCTTTATCATCTGTTTCAAGGATAGCTACAGTTCCAACAATTAATCCATCAACACTTTTAGCAACCCAGTAATTAGAGCGATCACCGGCGTAATACTTGCCAATATCTAAAATATCTTGTTGTTTACTGACATATGCTGATACCTCGCGGTGAAGATAAACGAAAAACACATACAGACTGATACATAATGAAATTGATGTTAGTGTTACAGAGGCGCTTAAGCCGTAGACCACAATTACAATTGCGAGAAACACTACCTGGTACCTAAGTTTTCTGATGCAACGCAGGAAGAAGTTAGGTTTATGTTCTTCTAAGAAGACGTGTTTAAACAGGTTAGCACAGGCTAGGAAATCTTTATTTTCTGCAGATGTTATTGTGACACCCATCGTATTTCTACGCTCATCCATGATCCGCTTTGCCAATCTTTCATGGTTCCACGGTTGATATTATAACCATACCTGTTAGCTCGGTGATTACTTAAAACAGTGGACTTTGCTTTTTTTGCATAATAAACTATTGTAATCGATATCGCTCAATAATGCCATATATTTGATAGACAGCTGTGCTGCTTTCGTAATGCAGATTGTAAATACGGTATATCAGGTCAAATACTTGGTTCAAAGGGTCCTGGCACTATATTCATTTTTTACTTAGCTTTTTGAAGCACAACACATTATGCTTACAAAAGGGCCTAGGCTATGTACCTGCTATATTATTTGGCAAAGAAAATCACCACACAAGTTAAGAATGCTGTATCTGGACAAAGAGGGTAGTACCATGATCCAACATCAACCAAATCACAATTAGTGTTTTAAATACTGTGAATAAGACTAGGCCTATTGCGAAAATGATAGAAAAATAAGTTGTTCAAAAATTCTTATCAATGCCGTAACTAGATTAATGAGTACGTCATGAATAAATAAAGTGCATGAAACATGAGCACATTAATGCAATTATGTATGTTATTTTCAATTTCAATTTATTAAGAAAACCTCCGGAATGGAGAAGTAAAACAGAACAATTACTTTCAATAGAAAAATTTCATTAAAACAGAAAATTTAATTAAATCAGGTCAAAATCGTTACATACACCCGAAAAATTGTGATGAAAACCAAAGAAAAATACATACGAGTTGACAGATATTGTGGAATACATATAAAAAAGATGTAGGCCTAATTAAATATAACACGTATTATAAATACAAAGGGTACAGTATGCTTATTCCTCCGTGAATAAATAATCACGAACACTAGGTATATGATGCAATATGAATAATAATGACTGTATGTCTATCATCAACAAGGCTCGTGGTGAACATGTGGTCACTAAATGATAGAATAAAAGTACAATCGGTTGGTATAGTTACCGTATACATCGGTATTTGCGAATTTTATTTATGAGTATATAATCAATTAATGCCAATAATATACCACATCTAAGACAGTCATTAGAGTCATTCGGCAGAAAACGTGTTTACGAATTATCGAATATATTTTTCACGACTCCATAACAATAAATAGCAACACAATCTAATTATTTAGATTAGAATGCCGTGTACGACTGTCTTAGTGTTACTTTTTTCAAAAAAATGTTCTAGTATTGTAATTTTATTTCAAGTCATCGCTTTCAAAAATGGAAAATGTCCAAGATTATTTTTGTCTTCAAATATACTTTTATAAGCTTACTTATAAAAAAAAATATTATCAATTACGGAATATAATGGATGTCGATGGGGAAAATATTTTAAATACTGTATTATTGAAATAATTCTCCTACAAATTATCTTTGTATTTTAACCTGCTCGCCCCTTATACTAATCTCCTTCTCTCTTTTTCTCTCTTTTTTTATCAGTTTATATTGCGCCATCATTACTTCTCGTCGTTCTAGTTTCTGATCTTTCTTCATTACCTCATTCTTCTACATGCGTTCATTCCCTAAAGACGCTGATTTTCAACCAAATTTTACAGTGTGTACCGGTACAGTTTGAAAAGTTTATGTACTTGTTAGACTTCTGGGGCTCGCCACAAAAAGGAGTTGCCTTTTCCCTTGGTCCTGTCCACCTACGTTCTCGTCATGAACATCGACCCTCCCTGTCGACAAATCCTGGCGCCACCACTACAGCCAATGCACATTGTATATTTCTGTATGCATATGTATGTAATTATGTGCGTATTCTTCCTCTCGTATCCACAAATCCGAGTGCTCGAAGCACGCACACCATTGTCTCCTGCCTCCAGATTACGCTTATTCATAATTAGCAAATTTCCTCAATTCCTGTCGTGATCTTCCTGTCTCTTATACACATCTAGATGTGTATAAGAGACAGCCAATAATGCCATATATTTGATAGAGAAAAATAAGTTGTTCAAAAATTCTTATCAATGCCGTAACTAGATTAATGAGTACGTCATGAATAAATAAAGTGCATGAAACATGAGCACATTAATGCAATTATGTATGTTATTTTCAATTTCAATTTATTAAGAAAACCTCCGGAATGGAGAAGTAAAACAGAACAATTACTTTCAATAGAAAAATTTCATTAAAACAGAAAATTTAATTAAATCAGGTCAAAATCGTTACATACACCCGAAAAATTGTGATGAAAACCAAAGAAAAATACATACGAGTTGACAGATATTGTGGAATACATATAAAAAAGATGTAGGCCTAATTAAATATAACACGTATTATGAATACAAAGGGTACAGTAATGCTTATTCCTCCGTGAATAAATAATCACGAACACTACGGTATATGATGCAATATGAATAACAATGACTGTATGTCTATCATCAACAAGGCTCGTGGTGAACATGTGGTCCGACTAAATGATAGAATAAAAGTACAATCTGTTGGTATAGTTACCGTATACATCGGTATTTGCGAATTTTATTTATGAGTATATAATCAATTAATGCCAATAATATACCGCACCTAAGACAGTCAAGAGTCATTCGGCAGAAAACGTGTTTACGAATTATCGAATATTTAGGGAAGTTTCTAGCGCCGGACATTATTATATTACTTCTTTTACTCTACTAGCCATACCTTTGCGGACAAAGACCAGGGGCGGATTTAGGGGGGGGGGTGGCCTATTGTTATCTCGGTCATCCCCGCTTTCGGCCCCTTCCGCCCCCCCCCCACACTTTTTTTTTGGACATCTCTGTATCCGCCTCTGAAGACCTTGTTACCTTATAGGGAACACACGTGGTTTAAAGCAAAGTGGCAATTTTATGTCTGACAAGCACAATTCATCCCTAAGTAATGGAAAGGAAGGGGTACACGATTTTGCAAGTATGTAACGACTTGGCTTTAGAAACGGGATTTACGGGTCGACTATCTAATTTACTTGGTTTAATTCCAGTATACAATCATACGAAATGGCCGTCAACCATTTCTCGCGTGGTACGGCCGAGAATCCAAGTTTCCTATAAAGTTTCAGTGCTCGTGGAAGACATTCAGAACATATAAGTTTTACTTCTTTATATCGGGCTTCTTGACAAAAATTAAGAGCATGTTCCACAAGTCTAATTCCCAAGCCCTGTGACTGAAACTCTTTTTTTATTACCAGTCGCTTCAACATAGCCACATCTTTATTTTTTGTTTCAAGTATAGCTACAGTTCCAACAATTACTCCATCAACACTTTTAGCAACCCAGTAATTAGAGCGATCACTGGCATAATACTTTTCAATATTCATAACATCTCGTTGCTTATTAACAAATCTTGATACTCTACGGTGAAGATAAACCGAAAACAGATACAAACTGATGCATAAAGAAATTAATGTTAGTGTTACAGAGAAACTTGTAGCATAGACCAGGATCATAACCGCAAAAAACATAGCCTGGCATCTAGGTTTCCTGAGGCCACGCAGAAAAAAGTTTCTACTAAATTCTGCCAAGTAGACTTGTTTAAATAGCTCGGCGCACGCTTGGAAATCTCTCTTTTCTGCAGAATGTATTGTGACGCCCGTATTTCTACACTCATGCTTTGCCATGATGCCAGTAGACTTCTTTGGATTTAGTATCCGTTGGATTAATTGAGTAGGATACAGAATTTGGTAACTCAGAAAATAGGCTTATACTCGTTGATTGCACGTTATTTCGTGTACACGCTGTTGAATTTGATTTCAGATAGGTCCTATTTGTAGTCAGAGGATTGCAAATTGATTTACTCCTCCCTGTTTAGAATAATTAGGCCTATCCATAAAACAACCACAATATTTTGCAAGAATAATGGTGAAATTCAGATTGATTCGATCATAAAATATCAGACAATAGACAAAATATCGAGAGTAACGTATATTTTTTTTTATCTCTGGGAAATTGTTATTAACGACGTTCATTCCCGTTTATCAGCTAATAAAATAAAAATGTCATTATAATTAAAAAATTAAAACGAGACCAACACATGCTATTTTCAACGTTACTGATAACAAATTCCCAGAGATTGAAAGAATTTATGTACAGTGTTCTAAATCTACAGTATTTATTTATTTTTTTCTCTTTTGTGGCCACAGACCACATTTATTCATCAATATCATTATAAAGCACAGTTCATACATTTATAATTTATGGTACTAAGTATATTGATTTTATACATTGATTTAGTTGTGGGTTAGCCATTCATTATCCTCCTTTTTTCGTGGTTATCATATTTTTTTTAATTCCCTCTCGTTTTCTCCTTAATATACATGAAGAATTTTTTTAAGTTTATATATTTATTAAAAACTATATACAGTGAACACAGTCACGGTGTTACCGAACGCATGATACATTACAGCACACTCGCTATTGTTACGCGTTCAAAAAGAAGAAAAGTTAAAAAAATAAAAGAAGAAAATTTAAAATGGCTTGCAAAAAAAATATATTATGCAAGACATTTTAGATACTTTCTAATATTATATTCAGTTATAAAAAGCATTTGCACTGAGCTACGATTCCATTTGTTAACGTGTTTTAAGACGTTTTCTTTGAAATATACAGAATTTTCTCTCGGGGGAGGACCCCCGTTCTTTCCAATCTTGCGGGTTTGTTTTTATCACGAGAGATAGTTCCGCAATCCAATTAGATCTGACATCTAATATAGTAAATAATTCATCTGCATTAATAAATCTGTTGTCAATATAAATCATTTATCGTTCGTATGCCCGCTCTAACCCAATTTCTAATTAAAAGTGAAACACCATTATATAATATCATTTTGTTACCCCAAATTTGTTGTTTCAATATTTCATTATAACGCAGTAGGTGCTTAACAATACATTGGTTAAAATATGTTAATGCGTTTATCATTGAGAGACAAAACCTAGGAATTCCGTCGATGGATATCCCTTTATAGCATACATGTGAAATGTTCTCGATAACGCCCTTTGGAGCAAATCTGTTCAAATATAATCTTGGCAAATACTTCCATTTTGATGTTTCGCCATCATACAAGCGTTTAAGCCAAGCCATTCTTAGTGACTTGACTTGTGATATAAAATCAGGAGCTCTTAAACTGCCTCGATGATAATCATTAATTAGGGTTAACCTTTTTACTTTTTCCAATTTATAGTCCCACAAAAACTCAAAAACAATTTTATCAACCTGTTTTACCACGCTCTCGGGGGTTTCTATAATGCTTGCATTGCAAACAAGTTTAGATAGCCCGAGCGCTTTCAAAATTAAAATTTTTCCAGAGAGAGTCAAATTTCGTTTCCGCCATGAATTAAGTATGTGTTTTAATGATTCAATTTTTTTCTGACCAATTTTTAACAAAACATGGTGGTGCGAAAATTGTAGGAAATAGTAGCTCTAGATGACCGGAAATGACACTTTCATAATACCTCCTTGCATATATATAGTAAAATTCATCGTCATCACATCATTATATCTTAGTAAAAATGAAGCGACAACACATTGTTATATAAACCTCTGAAATAAATAGTTAATTGTTATATTGTATTTATACCTCTGAAACATTTTCATAATCAGTCTTAGTTTACTGAAATTGAGGATTGTCAAAAAAGTTGAAATCTAGGCCTATATATATAGAAAGTAATACCAAAACAAGCGCATGGTGGATTTTTGTTTAATTATGTAATATTAAAAAGGTGATTTATTAATAAATACCGTAATGTATAGGTATCAGTATACAGTATATTTATTTTTAAAAAAAGTACATTAATAGAATATTTAATTCATTATTATTATTATTAGGCCTATTATTAATTATTATTATTATTATTATTATTATTATTATTATTATTATTATTATTATTACTATTATTATTATTGTTGTTGTCGTTGTTGTTGTTTTTGTTTTTGTTGGTATTATTATTAATTTAAAAAAAAAAATAAAAAAAAAATTCTAGACCTAGCTCATTTCCTGCAATCTAGGAATCAAAATTTTCCCGGGGAGGACCCTCGACCTTCCTTCCTTTTTGGGGTTCATCGATTCATGGAAAAAAGAATACGTATGTAACTAATAATTTTTTTTCTGTGTACACCTGTACAGACATATAATAATAGGCTTATCATACTGTAATAACAATACAAAAAAAAAAATTATCTGACCATTTACAAAAGGGAAAACCTTGAATTTTGAAGAACTGAAAAAGTAATTAAAAGTCGGGAAAACTCATTTCTCGCCATCTAGGAATCAAAATTTTCTCTCGGGGGAGGACCCCCGTTCTATTTGGGGTTCGTCGATTCATGGAAAAAAAAATACGTATGCAACGACTCAATTTTTTCTATGTACTGTATATACACACATAATAGACCTGTATTTACTGTAATAAGAATGAGAAAGTTTACCTGACCGTTTTAAGACGTGGAAACCTTCAAATTGTTAAGAATTTAAAAAGTTATTAAAAGACACCTCCGAAGTCGGAAGCTCATTTCCTGCCATCTAGGGATAACAATTTTCCCGGGGGAGGGCCCCAGACACCCCCTCCCCCATTCTTCTTTGGGATTCTTGTCAAAAAATGTTCCCCCCTAAATGTGAACCCAGATCCGACCCTGATTATTATTATTATTATTATTATTATTATTATTATTATTATTATTATTATTATTATTATTATTATTATTATTATTATTATTATTATTAATATTACAGTATTATTATTATTAGGCCTATTATTACTTGTTTTTGTGAGAGGGCGTCCTATCAGAGATGCTTTGTGGATCGATGAATGAAAGCGGAATAAAGTAATTGAAAAGTCTGAAAAAGAGAAAGGGTACCAGATGATGGATTCGATCGGTTTCTTATCGAGAAATTAATTGTTTCCTCTCGAATTAACATAATGTAGGTACCGGTATCTTTCTTTCTGATTTAGCTCTAGCATGCCTAGGCCTAGGTTTAGCCTAAGCTACCACTGCCAGCAGTGTACCACTGCCAGTCTATTCTCTACCTGTGGCCACTGACACTACACTACTACTAGTACTACTACTACTACTAGTATTACATTCCTTGTCAAGTTGTAGGAAGACCTGGCTAATTCGGCCTAGGCCCTAAGCCTACCTAATATGCACTAAAGTGCAGGATTGGTCCTAGAATTAAATAGCATTGAAAAGCATTGTAGTAGCTGGTAATGCATTTTTTTTAAAGGAAAAAGACATAAAACTAGAGACAGGATTTCCAACAGCATTGAGGTAGGCCTATACTCTCATCATATAACAAATTTGTGTCCTAGCCTATATGCATAAACACAAACAAAACAATGAACAAGTTGTATTATTATACATTTTTTTATATAATCTTTTTGACAACTAATTTCGAATGTAATAGGAAATCTATCTGATCAAAACAGAAATTAAACATTTTATGTATGACCAATTTCCTTGTAAAACAAAGTTTTTTCCGTGTATGATTGATTTGGGTTTTTTTCTCTCAGAAATTGCATATATTCTTGACGTTGTGTCCTTATTCATGGATCAGAAAGTTACTAACGTTCCAGAGAGTGGTTCAGTGGCATCCCGGTCCAAAGTAACTAAGCTAACTGGGTTTCATGGATCTACATTTGAAATACCTGAAAATGACAGAGTATGTAAAATTAAGTACAGTATGTTTTAATTTGTCTTTGTATTAAATTATATTGTAATTTATGCTTTCATTCTTATTTCCTCATCCAAGGATTTGACATAGAGAGGACGTAGGAGAGGGACTTGCACTGATGGATGGTCTAAACTACCGTAAATGCTTGAATAAGCACCGCGGCGCTTATAAAATTTCCTGAGGCTTCACTGCAGCGCTTATTCAAGAGCGGCGCTTATTAAAAAATTATTGTCAAATGAAATAAATTGTTTGTTTGCCTTTCTTTAAAAATAACAAATAGGTGCTGGTGGAAAAATTTTGTTTTTTATTTATTTTTTTTTACCAAAAGAACGATTGAACAGCAGACAGCTAATAATTTTTAAAAACAGCACAACAGATCATATCTTCATCATAGGCAAAGCCTATATTTAATCCAATATATTATGGCCTTAACAGCCCCAACAAGACATGTTTCGGCAGTCTACTACCATCGTCAGTTATCTCATTGCACGCAGGCAATCATTAGTATAAGGGAGTAAAAATTCAATGTTTTGCATGCTAAATAATTGTTGAAAGAACCGTAACAATACTACAAAACAAAATATAAATAAAGATGAGGTAAAATCAGAGTATAGTATCTATGCCACAAAGGGGAGAATGGAATGAATTTAGAATGACAAAGATAAATTAACATGAAGCTGTTTGTTCAGTGAGGGCTGCTCCCACTGAATATGCAAGGCTTCTTTGATTTTTAGAATTTGGGTTGTAGAGGCGGAGTCCAGTATTGTGAAGCAGTCCTCATTGGCTGATTGTTTACAATGACGTGGTCTCTTCAAATGCTTTAATATATGCGAGTTCCCATCCCTTTTTTTTTTTTTTATAAATACTCAGCAGATGGAATAAAAATAACACACAGAGGCCTAGAATGGCAATATCTTACATCAGACAACAACTTTAGACTAATTTGTAGAACATCTGGCAAAAAATAAAGATAAAGTCACTCACATTTTTTTTAATTTGTTAAGAAAAATCTAAAAAGAAACCCCTTTTTAAAGATTTTTTTTCCGCCCCTATTTTTCTCAGTAAGTTAGGGGCAGGTGGAGGATAAGTAAACAAACAATTTTTTTTGGCCTTACCATCATCATCATTATTATTATTACTACTGTATTATTATTATTATTATTACTGTATTAATGACATAAGAAATTCAAACCGTTGATCTATCCCTGACTACACTACCTACACTTGGGACATTTTGGGTTATTTTTTTAAAAATTACGATTAACTTTTTGTTCATGAATTAAGTTGAAGTACAACAAAATTGAGACGAAAATATGATTTCTGAGCTTTAATTATAGAAAACAAACTGCACAAAAAAAACCTTTCGAAACATTTTTTCTTTGATAATAATGCCCAGCATTCAATGAGCCTAAATGATATCGAGGTCTTCGATGTCGTTTATATTGTCTTCATCAATGTCAGACTCAAGTTCGATGTGATCTCTGCCTTCGTCACCAGAATCAGTTTCAGCGTCAGAATCTAAGAGTATTGGGTTTGGTGTTTCCAGATTCTTTTGTAGCAGAATCAAATGGGAGTCTAAGATACGTCGTTCAGTGACCCGTCCATTGGTAGGTTAAGGGCACAGTGACCAAAGCTTCTCTGTATCAATTCCAATGGCAATTGTTTCCATGCCGCGGCACTTATTCAAAATAGAGCTTATTATTGCTGTATTATTATTCTACTGTATTATCATTCGAGAGCGGCGCTTATTCAAGCATTTACGGTACCTCAGCCTCAACCATGGTTGGGGCTGAGGCAAGTACATTTATGATTATGGCACCTTTAGACTTAAATTTGAACATAATTTTCTTTTTTTCCTCCATTAAAATAATTTTGACAAATTTGGGGGTGGGGCAGTCTAGTCCTCTTTAAATCCAATATGTTCCTAATTGTGAATTTTATTTCAATAAGGCTTAAAAAATGAATGTTTTATTATTGTAATATTAAAAATTAAATTTTTACACATATTTACAGAAAATTAGTACTACCGGCATATTGTATTTTACAATGACTTTCAGATTGGACTGTGCAGAAGTGTCACTGAATTTGAGAAGTTGAATCGAGTTGGAGAAGGAACATATGGAGTTGTTTGTAAGATAACGATGGATATTAAAATAGTGATGTTAATATTTTTTAAAAATTCATTTGCAACAAACAGCAAGTGACTTTACAATTATAGGATGGACGTTGCATTAAGATTCTATAGGGAACCCAGCTACACGATGTATGCACAAGGAATCGTTTTAATGACGATCCGTTCAGACTGCCACCAACGGTCATCAGACGGAATCATGTTGTCATACGCTCACAGGCAACAGAGTTGCATTCGTTGTACGACGGTCGTAAAATGTATTGAGTGCCCGGCTTAATTGAGGCTTAGGGAGAGTGGAGTTGTTTTTAGTTGTGAAAATAATCCTGCTGTTGTCACAGGAATTGAATAGTACAGATGTCAAACCAATCATCATTCTGATGTAAATGGTCAATGAATGAATAAATTAATGTACATTTCCAACTTTTAAGATGATCGTAAAAAAGGTGGTCATCTTATATACGCGACATACAGATTTTTTTTCGTCTTTTTGTATGTTGTTCTAAACATGCAAATTTATTACAGCAATATACTAAAAAAATTAGAAGGCCTATGAATAAACACAATTTAAAATACAGGGAAGCAAGATTTTGAAAATCTCATAAAGTGGTGTTATTTGGAAGATTACCCCTGCAGCAAAAAGTATGAATCTCGACGGTCAAACAGGGGTCATTTTATATGCCGGACATACAGAAAATGTTGAAATATCTTCTTGAACTCAGGGGTTGTCTTACACAAGGGTCTCCTTATACGCGAGTATGGTATGTTTTGAAATTTTAAAGAGATACTTACATTACACTTACAATCTTCAAATTTAATTTTAAGATCGTGCAAGAGATACAGTGAAAGATGTCATTGTTGCTCTCAAGAAAATGCGAATGGAAAAAGAAAAAGATGGTGAGGATGGTGTTTTTTTTGGCTACCATTATTTGGGAGAGAGCTTATCATTTGGAAAACACAATGCTCTATAACCAAGTCAAATTATAAGCGCTTTGGGATTAGAGATTTTATCATATATTGCTCCAGTTGTAGATTCAAGGGGATCATATGTTACTGCAGTGGGAGATTCAGACCCCCTCCTCTCCTAAAATTTTTCAAAATAAAAAAAAGGAGAAAAAATAAATTACATTCAAATTTCTGAGAGTGCAATTTAAAGACTGAGTGTGCAATTTCTGGCCATCTAGAAGTGCCATAATCATATTGTATAGTCTATATCCCTTCTTCCCCCCCCCCCCCTCTCTATTATGAATTCCTGGATCCACCATTGTACTTTTTTATTGCAATAAAACATATCCCAAAATTCTCTATAATATGACTTTTTTATGAGGGTCTGGAGAATGGCGGTCCGATCATGCGGGTTATTGATGTTCTGTTGCCATGGCTCTCAGAATGATGGGATTTGTAGTGAAAAAGGCAGGCCTGTAGTTAATCATACAGTATATATTATCTGTCAAAGCAACCCAGCTCTCTTTATGATATTATCTTTCTTAGGATTACCAGTAAGTGGCATGAGGGAGATTAATGTTTTGATCAACATAAAGCATGAGAATGTTGTTGAATTAATAGAGGTTGTAGTCGGTCAACACCTAGACAGGTGAGGTTCATTAAATCATTAAATATAATTTAATTTTTAGAAAAAAAACATCAATTTTTTTTTGGCTCGGGGTTTATTTTTGTGCTCAATATTTGGAAGGCATTTTATGAAGATCATTTCCATGGTCAGAGAGACAACATTTTTTTTAAAGCTTGATAATTAGTATTTTAATAATGTGCTTAAAAGGCTTTTTATTAATGTAAATTGTAGCATTTTTCTAGTAATGGAGTACTGTGAACAGGACCTAGCCTCCCTCCTTGACAACATGCCATCACCATTTACTGAGGCCCAAGTAAAGTGTATTTCCCTTCAGATGTTCCATGGTATTAATTTCCTTCACGAGAACTTTATCATCCACCGTGATCTGAAAGTATCTAACTTGCTACTCACAGACAAGGGGTGTCTAAAAATTGGTAGGCCATTGCTTTTTTTTTACAATATTCACAACAGGTGAGAAGTTTTGCATTCAAACTTGAATGATAGTCGGCCATACAACCCAAGTTGATAAATAGGACTCTACAGTATATATTTAAAAAAAACTATATATAAAAAAATCATTATGTATTCAAATTGAATCTGGCCTCTTTTTCTGGCCTCTTCTGAGTAGTAAAATTGCTTTATTTTTCAGCTGATTTTGGTCTGGCAAGAATGTATGGTTTACCAGTAAAACCTATGACTCCACGTGTTGTAACATTGTGGTACAGAGCTCCAGAACTACTTTTTGGCTCCAAAGAGCAGACAATAGCTATTGACATGTGGTAGGTTGATAACAAATGACTATTTTTGGTATTAAAAATTATATTCACCTAGTCTGGCATTGTGTTGATTTGTGTAGCATGAACACCCCACAATTTTAGCAGGACTAACTGCAAACATTTTAGTGGTGTTTTAATAATAGATTTCTATGGCTAATTTTTTGTACTGAGGAAAGTGTGTTGCCATATATTGTATTTTTAGATTGTGTAGAGTACTTAATTTTGAAACTGTCATCTATTTATTAGACTTAAAATGAAAAAAACATTGGTGTTTGTACAGCAGATTTTGGACACAAGATGGGTCGTATGCACTCAGCCACCAGGGGCGGATTTAGTGGGGGGGGGGGGGTTTAAAAANNNTAAAAAAGAAAAAAGAAAGAAAAAAAGAAAGAAAAAAAAAAAAATGATAGTCCAAAATGCCTCAAATGTTATTTTCGGGCGTCTAGAACACAAAAATTTACCGGACCCCCTAGGACATTGTTGTCTCGATCGGCCCAAATTTTGGCCCCCCCTTTCGGCCCCCCTCTTTTGGACATCTCTGGATCCGCCCCTGGCCACAGCTTCACTATCCCTCTCAATACGGTTCAACCTCCAAAGAATTAAGAGAACTGGGGTCGTCTGTTAAGAATAACCACTGCATTATGGAAATCATCTTAATATGAAAATGTGTACTGTATTCAACAACAAAATAAGTACATGTAGTATATGTGTAGTGTATTAGTACATAGGTCAATATTTTCTACAGCATTTTAAATTAACCTGTTTTATTGCTTTATAGGGATTTTCTCAACTTCCATTACTGGAAAACTATAACCTTAAACAACAGCCTTACAACAATTTAAAAGACAAGTTTCCATGGTTACCAGCATCTGGTCTGAGACTTCTGAATATGCTATTCATGTATGATCCAAAGAAAAGGTAATACTGTAATATAAAAGCAAGGACTTGTAAAAAAAAATACTAGTGCCGTAGATCCTTGGGTGCACAAGCCCACCTCGGGTATAAGAACACCCCCTAATTTTATGTACCAGCATTTCCTCAGGCAAAAGCCCAGGGTATGACTTTTACAAATATTAGCTTTGAACTTCACAGAGCTTAGAATTAGACGTAGCCGAAAAATTGCCATTTCACAAAAACTTGCCCAATTTGGAGTGCAACGGGTGGTTGGGCTTATACCAGAGAAACTTTAGGTAGAATATAGCGCTACAGTATTTTCTAGATTTTGGAAGCACTTACCAATGTTAAATTATATTACAGAGCTACTAGTTCAGAATGCCTTCAAAATTCATACTTTAAAGAACCTCCACTACGTAAGTTGATTTCTTGTTGGCTTAAGTTAGCTTGTGTTTTCTTTTAGTACAATCAGTTTTTTTTTTTAGCTTAATTAAAATAACCTCCAAAATTACCATTCATGTCCTCTCACAGTATCTCTCTTTCATGTGGTGCAAGGCTTGGGGATAGGGGTTGTTTGCATTTTAATTCCAAGTTCTTTTTTTTTCAATCTGTTAATACCAGGGTTCCCAAGTTGGAACCAGCAGATCTTTCTTAACCCATTTTACTTTATTTTACTGCGTACATGGTAATACTGTGAGGCACTTGATGATAAAGTAGTGAAACATGCAAATATTAGGAATTTGCGAGTGATGGGTATTTTCCAGGCGATCATTGCTTGGGAGTATGGGAGAAGACTTGGGACCCTAAAATAGAGTACTAAAATTTCTGTTAACTGTCAACAAATTTGCTCTTTTATGATATTTAAAAGTACTACCCTATAAAAGTGCATATTTTCTATGATAGATTTGATGTTTTAAAAAGTAAGAATGTTGTTATGTTAATTGCTTTTAATCAGTATTTTAAATGTCTGTCCTTTGTTTATTATAGCTTGTGATCCAAAATTGATGCCAACCTTTCCACACCATAGAAATAAACGGAAAACAAATTCACAGAGACCAGAAAACAAGTATGTTTTATTTTTAAAGCCAAGCTCCATTAGAATTTTTTTTGATATGTTGTAGAACTGATTTTTCAAAGACACAAAAAATGTATTTTGATGGTTAATGGATGCAGATTTTTTAATACAGGTAAACTTGCCTTAAGTCAAATCCAAAATGGCATTGAAAAATTTTATAGAACTTTATTGATAAACTTCCTCTTACAGAGAGTTAATGAAAAACACCAAAAAATTGCATGTAAAATAAGATTGACTAACAAAATATTTGAGTTAGGAAATTTACGGTTTTGAAATACTGGCTTTTGTTTGGAACCTTTACAACATTTGTAATATGTAATTGTTGTTTATTAATATATTTCACATATACTGTATTTAAATTGTTTGGTTATGAACTATGAAAATTGCATTCCTTCCAATGAATTGCTGCTTGTAAATGCAATACAATACATTTTTAAAATGAATTGTATCATTTACTGTTTACCAAAGCATTAACCTTATTACTGAAGTACTCCATATCTTTTCTTGTAGACCAAATAAGTATGAGGATTTTGGCAGGTCATTTGGGATGAATCCAGTGAAGAAGGTTAAAAGATGACTTTTGGATTATTAGATACAATACAGTACTTAAATGGAAGCTTTTTATCTACACAATTTGAAATGATACAGTAAATAGTTAGCTGAAAACTAACTGGTATTATGGCAAGTTCCTGATTAAAAAAATTGACAGGGTGTTGTGACATCATAAAGCGGGAACTGAACCTTTAAAAAACACTGGCAGTGAGAAATGATATGGCATTCTTAACATTAAATATCTTGTCTATCTACTGTTCTAACATTCTTATTGGTGTAAACCTGAGTATGCTGTACTGGAAAGAAGATATCTAAAACTAAAAAAATATTGTAACATCACTGGAAACAACAAAGAGGAATGACATGGAAGTATTAACTGTAATTATCATATGTTGGCAGCAGGAATGGGAACCCGGAAATGTGATTATTTTAACATAACTGGAAATAAACTGTTCTTAACCATACTTCTGGGGCGAACACAGAGGGGGTGAAGACTGCGATCACACCCCCTAAATTGTATTATGAAAAATAATTGCTGTATTGTAATTTTTATATGTATATTTTTATCATTATGAACATTCAAACCTCAGCCCCAACTGATGTGGAATCTCTCACACCCCCTACCACCAAATCTTCCATCAAGCTCAGTAGTTGTAAGTGACACTGAACTTAAAATGTGTTGTTTGTACGTTCAGTGTAACATACCGCTGTCAAAATATATATCTGAAAGAAATACAGTACTATTTTGAGTCTATTGTAGTTGATGCGATTCAATACACTCTTGAGTGATCAGAGGGATGAATTGTATATATCTAGTTAATTCCTATTTTTCCCACACAAGTTGGCTTACAGTTTCAATCATTGCTTTCTCATGAACCATTGTCCCCCCATACGGGTTGTGTTCAGAAAATATGAAATAGTGAATGTTAAACTTCATTAATAAATGTGAGAAGAATCAAGGACATTTGTTTCCAAAGAGATCTGCTTTTGTGTAATTACAGTATAGAGTAACACCAATGCATGTATAAAATGTAGGAAAAAAAAGAAAGTATAAAAAACTAGACTAACTACTGTATGTCTGTAAAACAGAATTTTTGCTTTTCCTCATTGCCATAATGAAAACTAACCATCAGTGGCATATTTAAAAATTACTCATGCACCCCCCCCCCAAAAAAAAATCACTTGCAAGTACAGTAGTTAAAAATCACCTTCGCGACACCAGCACCCCCATTTGAAGACCTCTACATACACCACTGTAGTCAATCAACCTTGCATAAATTTCATTTAACCTAGTTGTAACTACAGTAGTTTGAAGAACTTTTGAAAACCAAAACTGTATTACTAAACATTTTATTTTCTGTTTAATATTATACAGTTTATTATAAATATGTGGATAGACCACCATTCTTTTTTTAAATTTGTACATCTTTCATATGTTGTGCATCGCCAGTCATCACTCTCACAACAACATGAATACTGTACAACATAAACAACTGCAGTATGGTTCTATTGGAGCAAAGGAGTTATCACTAAACTCAAACGTCAAAACATCAAAAATTGACGAACAAACATTTTAAGCGGATGCAATCTACAACCTCTGAATTTGCCTAGTACAATGAATTCATCGAGAAAATGGTAATCTCCTGTGAAAGTCTGTATTTCTGATTTTTTAAAATTCTTTTGCGTAAAACTAAAATTTATGCCAATATTTTTTCATTGTTTACAATAAATAGAGTAATGCATATGCATTTTTTCTAAAAAAAAATCTTTTTTAGTGAAATTTTGCCAGGAATTGGCCTTCAACTACCACTCCACATTGTTCATATTCATAATATAAATTCTCTCTTGTTGTATTCCTTACATGGGCTTTTAAGTGGAAACCATTATCAAATTTCTTTCCACAATGTTCACTCATGGTTTCCCTCCAGTATAACTTGATGGGTTCTCAAGGAAGTACTTCTATCAAATATTTTGGAACACAGTTAACATTTGTATGTATTCTCAAATGACTTTTTAAATTGCTAGTGGTATTAAATTTCTTTCCACAATGTTCACATTCATATGGCTTCTCCCCTGTGTGTCTCATCATGTGGGTTTTTAACGAATTACTTCTATTAAATTTTTTGCCACAAAGTTCACATACATGCGGTGTATCTCCTGTATGTATCCTCAAGTGTTCTTGCAAATGACTATTTCGATTAAATTTCTTTCCACAATGTTCACATTCATGCGCTGTCTCTCCCGTGTGTATCCGCAAATGAGAATTTAAATTTCTGCGGTCTTTATATTTATTTCCACAATATTCACATTCATATGGTTTTTCCCCTGTGTGTATCATCATATGGGTTTTCAAAGAATTACTTCTATTAAACTTTTTCCCACAATGTTCACATTCATATGGTGTTTCTCCTGTATGTATCCTCAAGTGGTCTTTTAAACTACTACTTCGATTAAATTTTTTTCCACAGTGTTCACATTCATATGGTGTCTCACCTGTATGTATCATCAAATGATTTTTTAAATTGTTCTTCCTTTTAAACTTTTTTCCACAATGATCACAATCATACAGTGTCTTTCCAGTATGTAGGCCTGTCTTTATATGACATTGTAAATTGCTAATGCTTTTAAACTTCTTTCCACATTGTTCACATTCATATGGTGTTTCTTCTTTATGTATCTTCAAATGACATTTTAAACTACTGTGGTTTTCAAATACTTTTCTGCAATATTCACATTCATTGGATATCTCCGTTGTATGTATCACACCTCTTCTCGAATTGCTTAAGTGACCACATGGCTCTTCAATATAATCACATTGTTCAAATTCTACCTCCTCTATCTTAATTCCCAAATGTGTTCTCAAAGTAATTAAATCAACATCTTCTCCACAATGTTCACATAAATATTTCATCTCTTCCTTGCATTTTTCCATTTTGTTCTTTTCACTGCGTACTTTAAAAGACTTCTGAAACATAAAATGCATTATGGATAGAGTTACTTGTTACCTATTACAGAAGTGTGTAATACTTTATAAACATAATTGTCCAATGTAAACAGAATGTTTACACAGAACTACATTTATATCAAGATATAGACCATTTTATCGGATTTATTTGAAACAGCATCACCAAGGTTTTGCTACTTACTGGGGGACTTCTAGCGGCATAGCTGTCTGAACCTTTCTAGTTATAAATAGCGCAGCGCGCAGAGGATAGTGCCGCTAGACCCTACTTACAAACGCAGTAGACAACAAATATGTTCTTGCTAATTGCTGTAATTACTGTACACGTAAACATTAAAATAGCTTTTATGACTTGTTTTTAATATAATGTTTCATGTTTTTTCCCTTATATTTGTGCTTGTTAGTATTATCACTGACTTAATCCATGATGGTAACTCCTCCAAAATCCTAGGCCTCTGAAAGTCCCCCAGTTGTAATTGCCAGAATCGGAAAATTTTATTTCCAATTTTGCGAAAAAATGATATATATTTACTAGTGTACCTAGACTTATGTAAACAAAGAATCACTGAAATCTTATTGAGACATTAATACGCAACTCATTTTGGTATTGTTGGTATTACATTAAATGGGTTGCAGAAGTTAAAAAGTGAGACACTTTGATTTAGAATGTTCAAAAGCGGGACACATATATTCAAAAGGTGGGGGTGGGCGGCAGCTTGTTTAATTATATACGATAGTGTAGCTCTCAACCCACAACATAAACTAAGCCTATATTTAGTATATGCAGCTTTAGTTCAATCACAAGTTATTAAAACTATTGTTCTTCCAATTTAAAATTTAGTTATTACTCATATGGTGTGGTAGCCCTCCTAAGCATTTTGTGCAATAAATAATTGCAAATTTGTAAACATGTAACATGTCACTTTCACAAATTCTGCTTTGATCGATTCTGGTGCACGAATATCTTTCCGCCACGAGTTAAAGGGCAAGGTTACAGATTTTACAATATATAATTTGAAAACTGATTTAGCATACTGAGTTTATAGGCTGAGAAGAGGTATGCAGCATATAACAACAGCTGTGGATTTTCAAACGAAGAGGACAGGATAAAGATTTTCAGGCCACTTTTCAAGTTTCCATAATTAATATATCAGAAATTTGTCTAGGCCTAGAGTAAGTATGATAAATTTCCGCAGTAATTTGTCTATTTCCATATGACCGTAATTAGGCCAGGGGCAGCGCCAAGAATTTCTCTGGCTAGGGGTCAAAGCTCCTCGACAAGGGGTCCAACCATCTCCTTTATCTATCAGGAAATTGAAATAAAAAATTAAAACAATAAAGAAATGTTGTCTTATTATTTCATTTTATCATATTTATTAAAACTACAGTCAGGCTACATGTAATGTGTAATGCTTTTACAATGCATCTTATCAGCGCACAGAGATATCATCATACAATTTCTAGTCACAAGCAAATTGATTTTTACATTTTCCATTTCTATTTAAATTAAGGAAGAGGTTATTTGCACGGTACCGTGCGAATTAGGAATAAGAACTTATTTGTACGGTATGACAGCCGTTACGTCATGAAACCTTAAATGCTGATTGGCTAGGTCTACCGTGCGAATAAGACTGATAAGAGCTAATTCAACTATTTGCACGGTAGACAATGTTTGTATGATATCTGAAAAGGTATTTCGGTTCGATTAGGTATTCCGTAACAAATTAAGTAAGTTTCTCTTAAAATATTTAGGTCTTTTGAGACGATACCGTGTTAAATATTGTTAATTTACGATGTACCCGGGCCGTGCTAATTGGGAATAAGAACTTATTGGCACGGTTAGATTGGACGTCATGAAACATCAAATGCTGATTGGCTAGGTCTACCGTGCGAATAAGACTCATAAGAGAGCTTATTCGCACGGTATACCGTGCGAATAATCACTTTCTTAAATTAATCCAATCCAATGAATTCATTCATTTGTAAAGTGCCTAAAATGACCCCGAACATCTATCCCAGCAAACACAAAATGTTCTTTTGATACTAATTTTGGCGAAGTACATTGCAGTTAGGTATCACACAAAATAACGTTGTAAAATTTGGTTTAAGTACATTACATACATATGGTTCTAGAAAATAACATTTTTATCATCAAACTGTAAAGTTACGTAATTATATATAACGTAATATTGTTAGCTGGGATCATGTTATTTTACAAAATGGGCCAGAAAGTTTACACTCGGTAGACCCAATCACCGTGGGCGTGGGCACGATCGTCTGTTACCCGGTACGAGGTAGCCTGTATTCCTATAATCTATGACGACGACGGGCCTATCTCCTTCACTACGCTCTCATCCAAAAGCACCACACTAGGCCTAGTAGGCCTGCACTACTTTGCAAAAGGCCAGGCTAAGCCACGCTATGTACTGTGCACACTTACGGCGCAATACTCTCATTTACAGCGCAGAAACTCTCATTTAACTTACAAGAACTGTATAGCATTTCGAGAAAATATAGGCAATCTACCAGCAACAACTAAGCTACTACTACTAGGCCCTAGCTAGATAGCGCCTAGAACCAACTCAACGACGAAGTGAAACTTCCTTATGGAACGCCGTGAGTGCCTTCAGTGAGCATTACAATGCTGCAGCAGTGACCAAATTCAATGCAGCAGTGACCAAATTCATTCAGCAGTGACCAAATTCACGCTGTGCACGGTGACTAAATTCATGCTGCAGTGACCAAATTCATTTAGCAGTGATCAAATTTATGCTGCAATGACCAAATTCATTTAGCAGTGACCAAATTCATGTGTGTGTGTGTGTGTTTTAAGTTTTCTACTAATTATAATTTAATTTTTTATCTTTTAATAATATTTTAATCTTGTAAATCTACTCATTACTGAAATGAGTTTTGATAGTAAAAACAGAATGAATGAATGAAATCTCAGATAAGAAAGTATAATACATACTCCAAGTATCGAAATACACATAATCTTGACGTGTTGGGATAATATTTCGACATTAATTATGTCATCATTCCAGATGACGACATAATTAATGTTGAAATATTATGACGTGCATTCTACTTGGAGTAGGCCCTATATAGCATACTTTCTTAAGCTGACTTAATCGCTCTTTACTTAAGCGGGGTACTCTACTAGGACTAGGAATGGGAGATTTTGTTAGTCTGGATTTACTATCTCATTATGGGGCTTACGTTCAGCATATCAGTCGCTGTTCAGCACATACAGTAGCCTATCACATTGGAAAATGGAATCGTACAGCTCAAACTGGCGGCGACATGCGAACCGCTCAGAAAACAATGTTGTTTTCTTACAAAAACTGACTTAATATTAACTGCTCGTACCAAAAAACTATAAATCTTTCTTGCTTAAAACTTACATAAGAATCCCTACCTTTACCCTATAATCATAATCTTTGTTTTCAAAAATATGGATAATGTAGTCATATTGCCTGACATTTAAAAGAGCGCTGCATCCATGTGAGCATGCTTGTTACGCATAAGCATCTAGTGAGGAGTTTTCAGTGAACTTCCTAATTGCAAATATTTTTATATAATTTCAATTTTATTTTGATGATAAAAATAATTATGATAGTGAATCGAATATGCTTTACACTGATGATGATGCTAGTAAAATATAATTATCCTTTTATTTTATACTAGTTAGTAGTACTTAATAAGTACTGTGTATCTCTTATTGGATTTTTAAAAAAAATATTATATAAAATTACTATAAAATAAATTTTATTTTATATTATATTATTTTGAAAAATTCCAGTAAAGAGGTATGATTAATATGAAAAAAAAAATCAGATACAAAATAAAAATTAAATATATTATAAATTAAGTACATAGTGTGATATATTATTCAATTTTTATTTTGTACCTGTGATTTTTTTTTTTCATATTAAAAATGTTCTGAAACTGCAGTGAATAAATGTACAAGGTATAGAAATCAATTGCTTATACTCGTTTGGCTATTTCTTTGATATTTATTGTACTACTGTACACTTACCAACAGAAAATACTATTTTACATTCAATTAACACAAATTTATAGAAGTACATCATAACCATTAGTTGTTATTTTTATACAATTATTTTCCAAAAATAATATGTTGGGTTGGTATCAATACATTTTACTAGTTGAGCAACTCATTCTGCTAGTTACAATTTTTCACAAATGTAACTACTGTAATTTAGGGTGTGTCCATTACAAATGAAATGGAGTTGACATGGAAATGGGTGATTCTAATTGGTCTGTTTCCATAAAGCATGATCATATTTGGTGTTAACCGAGTCATTTTGGTAACATTATCCATACCATATTAAACAATTATGTTGGTGGATTTCAATATACATAAATGTTTTTTACATTAAAAAAACTTATTAGCAAGGTTGACATCATAATAATTTGAAGGTAATTTGGTCCCAGAGAATGGGACAGTAAGGTCATTGATCATCCTGAAAAGTTGCTTGAGTATGTTTCCTAAAATGGCCTTTCAAACATCTACTGTAATTAAATCTTTGTCCACAATGTTCAAAATCATGGTTTTTCAGAGAGAGAGTTTTGTGTTTTTAGACCACAATATTATGGATTAGCAATCAAAATAACATTATTTGGATAGGCAAATTATTATTATATTTACTTTTTATCCAACAACCTGTTGTTAATGTAGTTGTGGTGTCGGATGATAGTAGGTCCAGGCATGTTCCATGAGGTACAAATGCCCCCCTACCAGTGCTACCACTGCATGCATGTGCCTTAAAATATATGAAATAACTAAAACTAGTACTTTACTAAATTTACAGTAGGAGCACGCGATGATGGTGATTAAATTGATAACACCAGCAGCAGCAGCAACAATGATACTGTAGTATGATGTACTGTAAGATGTGGCTTACATATTATTCCGGTCATTGGATTAAACACTGTGAAACACATACTACACTATATAAAATACTATATAACCACAATTCTTTGCAATTACAGTATGTTATATTTTCTACAGTACCTATTAATAAACTCTAAAATCTAAGACTCTACAATAAGCCTTTGAAACCACTATATTGTCAAATTACTGGGGGCTTCACCCCAGGACAACTTTTAGTAGATTTTGGGCAATGCCCGACCACGGCCACTTTTTTTCTCGATAGTGACAAACCGTGAGGCAAACCTTTGACCTCCCATGAGGTAAATCCTGGCACAGCCCCTGCCTGTGGGAGTACTGGTATATTTCACAATGCTGCAGCAACTATTCAACCCACTGGCATTTTAACCCTCAGATACTCTTGTGTATATCAGCTGTCAATTCTGCGAATTTTACAGACATATTTTGTCTTCTAATTTTTTTTTAATTTTTAGAGCATCTATCTCCAGTATAATCCTATTCAGAAGTGACCCTTTAAATTGCCATTGCTTTTAAATTTCTTTCCACAGTGTTCACATTCACATGGTCTCTCCTGTATGCATCTTCAAATGAAGTTTTAAATTAACACTACTTTTAAAAAATGTATTTTTACAGTGTTTACATTCATATAATATTTTTCTTGCCTCATGTATCATCGAATGAATTTTTAAACTCCTATTGGTGTTAAATTTCTTTCCACAGTGTCCACATTCATGTGGTCTCTCTATTGTATGTGTCATCAAATGACGTCTTAAAACATCATATTTAAATTTCTTTCCACAGTGTTCACACTCGTATGTTCTGTTTCCTGTATGCATCCTTAAATGACTACTTAAACTAGCATAAAAATTAAATTTCTTTCCGCAGTGTTCACATTCATATGGTGTCTCTCCTGTATGCATCCTTAAATGACTTTTTAAAGAGTCATTTCTTTTAAATTTCTTTCCACATTGTTCACATTCATATGGTTGCTCTTCTGTATGTATCGTCAAATGACTTTTTAATTTGCTGTTAATGTTAAATTTCTTTCCGCAGTGCTCACATTCATATGGTTTCTCTCCTGTATGCATCGACAAATAATGACGACTTAAACCAGCATGAAATTTAAATTTCTTTCCGCAGTGTTGACATTCATATGGTGTCTCTCCTGTATGCATCCTTAAATGACTTTTTAAAGAGTAACTTCTTTTAAATTTCTTTCCACAGTGTTCACATTCATATGGTTGCTCTTCTGTATGTATCGTCAAATGACTTTTTAATTTGCGGTTAGTGTTAAATTTCTTCCCACAGTGTTCACATTCATGTAGTATTTCTCCTTTATGTATCCCCATATGACTTCTTAAACTATTTTGGCTTTTAAATACTCTTTTGCAATATTTACATTCATGGAATATCTCCTCTGTATCTATCAAATCTCTTAAATTGCTTGAGTGATCAAATGGCTCTTCAACATAATCACATTGTTCAAATTCTACCTCCTCTATCTTAATTCCGAAATGGGTCCTTTCTACCTCCTCTATCTTGATTCCCAAATGGGTCCTCATAGTAATTAAATCAACATGTTCTCCACAATGTTCGCATTTGTATTCCATCTCTTCCTCCTTATTTTCCATTTTGTTCTTAAACAGTTACAACATGTGTTTTACAGTATAATATTAATTAAAGTGTTCTCTTATTCACTGCATACTGTGGAAGACTTCTCTGAAAATACAATGCAATGCGATAGTGTTATATGATAATAATTTCCACTTATACTGTTTATTGTGCAGTGCCTCTATAATATATAAAGTAAAAGGCCAAATATAAAAAATTACTAATTTCTCATCCCCTCGTGCATCCATTTTCTCTGCCTCTCCAAATTTTAATTTTTTTTTTAAATTTCCTTTTTTTTAAAGAAATGTATGAAAATCTGGCTAAACTGTTTTCTTATTCACTGCATAATTTGGAAGATTGAAATTGAAGAAAAATGATGCAATGTGAGTGATAACTTGCACTTAAACTGTTTAGCGCATATTACGTAGTGCCTCTATAATATTACTAGTTTCTTGTCCATTTTCTCTACCTCTTCAAATTGTAAATTCTTTTTATATTTTCTTTATTTTAGTATTATGGTATGAATCATGTCAAGTGCTTCTTTTATTTGATGGCATCAATGTGCCTACAGTATCCAAGATTTACTTGCTACCTACAGTAGAATCATGTAAACATTTTTTTTTAAAAGTATATTGAAATGTTTTTTCAGACTTGAGAATTTAAGTTAAGCAGCTCATTTCACTATTATTGTTACTATTTCCCTGGATGATTCAGGAATTAAAACCTACAAATGTTAAAAAGCTAGAATGTAGAACAGTATGTCCAAATGCGGGACACTTTAAGGTGGTGGTGGGAGATAAATTGAACAAAGTTTAGTAATATACGATGGTGTACCACTCCGCGCCACTGAAAGTCCCATTCCCGTTCCAATTCCACTTAAAAACATTTTTAAAAAATTGCATGCATGCTATAATTATTATAAACCATGGAAAAAAATTTTATCATAAATTTTAGTTTTATGCAAAAGGATAAAAAAAAGAGAAGTAGGGAATATTTCTCATGGGAGATACTATCTTCTCCATACTAAATTCACAGATTTTAGATCGCATCCGCTGGAATGCTCTCGCCATGCTGCATTTTGCGTATACAGTACTTTACAGTCAGGTGTCAGAGGCAGGCAAGTTAAATGACATGACTTCAAGCAACAAAACAAACAATTATTACAATTATTTTATGGGATATTTTATTAGATGTTGATTTATTAGCAAGATATTTGGATATCAATATACACCTACAGTACCTCCAAATATTACGTTAGGCCTAGGCCCAAATAGAAGAGTTCTGGTTGTCCCTCTGCTTCTGTTCTGTGTTTGTTCGTTCTGTTTTTTTTTTCTGTTTTTTTGTTGTTTTTTTGTTGTTTTTTTTGTTTTTTTGTTACTGTAACTGTAAATTCATGTAATACACTACATGTGTAAGTGGTGCTGACATATAGTCATACATTCACAGTTATTCCAGGAATCTGGAAGGTGGCTTCACTTTTCTGCCAGTTCTAGTAACACGGAAGGGTGATACAGCTTCCTCATTCAAAGGTTGACAGTTGGTAGAGTTAAGTGGCAATACATCTGTCCTAGCAACAGGCTGCTTGATAACAGATGGTTCAATGTATGCCTTAAGACGATTGTAGTGTATCTTTCTAGGATATATTTTGCCATTAACCGCTTGCAGTTTGTAGACAACACCATCCTCACTCACATTAACGACTTGAAAGGGGCCCTGCCATCGAGGAGCCAACTTGTTCCGTACATTAACTGGATCATCAATCCAAACTTTTTCGCCAACTTGGTATGGACGAAATCTTTGTTTCATGTTGTAATAGTGTTTTTGTTTGTGTTTTTGGATAGCAATGTTATTGGTCACTAAATCCCTAGCTCTGGTAATACACTTATCTAAATCCGCAACATACTCTTGAGTAGTAGAAATGGGATGAGATGTGTTGGGACCATAAAGCACTTGACTGGCCAATCTTGGTTCACGTCCATGGACCAGGTAAAATGGGCTGAAGCCAGTGGTTTCATGAACTACTGAATTGTACTGCAATTCAATTTGACTAAGTAAGGTGTCCCAATCCTTACCTTCACCATACAACTGTTGAGACAGCTGGTCTTTCATTGTGCGGTTAAAACGCTCAATCATCCCGTCTGATTGCGGGTGATACGGGGTAGTTTTTGTTTTGACGATTCCTAAATATGTACAGATCCCCTTCAATAAATTTGACTCGAACTGAGCACCTTGATCTGTGTGAATAGACTCTGGTACGCCATGTCGCTTGATAAAATCTTCGCATATGCACTTGGCAACAGTGGCTGCTGTCTGATCAGGAATTGCGTATAAAGTGATATATTTGGTAAAGTAATCACCTACTACTAGCACGTAACGATTACCTCTGGCTGACACAGGCAACTCCGTAATATCGGCTGCAATTCTCTCAAATGGACGATTCGCTGGCACTGTACCCACTGGAGCACGTAATCCAGGAACAGGCCTTCGTCTAGCCTGACATGGGAGACATTCCAAACAGAATCGCTTTACATCACGTGCCATATAAGGCCAGTAACAATTAGCTGAAATGAGATCTAAAGTTTTGGCTGAATTATAATGTCCTGAATTAGAACCATGAAATGATGTCAAAACTTCCCTTTGTAATGAAGTAGGTATGATGGACTGTACAATTTCACCCTTACGTCTATCATGAGTAATGCGGACCATTAAACCATCATAAATCTTACAACGATGAAACTCCCGACATAATCGTTTATAATAACGGGACTTGCCTGCAAAATGATGGGGTTTAGTACCTAACTGAACACACATTTTGAACTCTTGTAACTCGGGATCTCTATCTTGTTCATTAATTAATTTATCACGTTGATTATGAAGTGAAAAACTATCACAAGAAGTTAGGGCATGTACATCCTGAACTTTACAGTCTATTCCCTTA